GGAGTATTCATTGTCCATTTTTACATATAACACACCGGTACTCAGTGCTCAGGCTTTAGGTACTTTTATTGTTCCAAATGTACTTCCTGGTCCCTTTTACTACCTCAACATTGATTCTAAATAAACTTGTTTAACCGTTTAAAAATTGATAACGTGGTATTGATTGTTTGCGGTGCGACCTATGGGATTCTCAAAACCACAGATGTTTACTTATGTTGTATTATGAGCAGTTCCGCAGAGACCGCAGTACACTTTTAGAAGAAAACAGGTCCTAGCTCAGATTGTGTTTAAAAAAGTATTTAGGTTATTACACTGTATTCATTTTTAGTGTTTAGAGTAGATCAGTTTCTAAATTAATTTACAAAAAAAAAAAATAAAAACAGAAAAATAAGAAAAATATATATAGGCCTTTATGCCTACTTAAGGATTAGGGTAGGGTTTTGAATAGGCTAGCTTCTTATTGGCTAATTTGATTTCATGTAATTATGTATTTTTAAAAGAATATAAATATAAATAAGTTTTAATATAGGCCATATTCAAAAAAGCCGAAGCTTGTACAGTTAAAAAATGTCTGTCTTCATGTACCGTATTTTTATTTTCCAAAATATCAAAAAGTAGAAAAATTTAGGAAATAGTACAACTAAATTTGCAATAGTATGAGAAAAAACATCATATTACATATTTAGGCCTATGCTTTTTGTCTGAATGTTTATTTATATAAAGACAATCATATTAAATCCTTAAGAAAATGATAATGTAGTTAAAAAAGTAAAATTAAATAAAAATGGTAGTAGGCCTACATCAAGTTGTTGTCTAGACGATAGACGTCATTTAAATAAATGCGGATCAGCCTAAATAAAGTACAGCCATTACGGTACTTACCAAATTCACTGGGGGGACTTTCGACTTCATGTTTCTCTTTTTCTCGTAGTCGTGTATGTTTCGGCAAACTAGAACGTCTCTGAACTGGATGCATTTCATTTGAATTTCTGAGGTTAGCCATTATCAACATCGATTTGGCTCTTCGTTCTTCTCGTTCAGTTTGTGATTAGGCATAATCGTGTACACAGTTAGCCTGAGCTCCAAATTGAACCTTGTCACTTCGATTCGTCCATAGTTAAAACAACTCCGAATGTAAAACACACCAGACTAAACAAGTTTCAAATATTTAATTGAATGAAGCGTTTCCTATCGTATAATCAAGAGAAGAAAGTACTGAAGATACAATAAAAGGGGCTGAATAACAGATCAATTCCTACTACTGTATTCCAAATCGTTTACTTTCTTGCAGACGTGTAAATATAATCGAAGTTCATGTCGTCTTTGTGAAATAAATGCAAGTTAATATTTATTTTATTTGATCCTACTTGAATTGTGTGTTTAATGTTGGAAGGGTAAACATTAGGCCTACACTGTTTGGGATAGGGCACCTTTGCAACAGGTTAGCTGCGCATGGTCACCTGTCCTTATCTGGGCGTAGATGAATGTGTCATCACCGGATATACATCAGATAATATTATGGACCTCTCAAAAACCTAGAAAATTACAACCGTAAATAAATAATTTTCCATTTATCTTCCCGCTCCAACCCTCCCCTTTTACCGCAGTAGAACACCAGATCAAGTACATTTATTAAACTATCGTAGCCTACTTATATGAATGTTGAATTGGTGGCGACAATTATATAACTTCGGTTAATGCGTGGTTTATAATAAAAAATAAATAAAAGGTATCAATTTATTGTTACCTTATTAAAAATAAGGTCTTGTGTCATTGTTCCATAGGAGGAACTGATATTATTTGAATATCCTGGATTTGGAAATTTATTACATCCGAGTGTTAAGTTTTGGTAGTCCTACATATCTTTTCTTAAAAGTGGTTCATTTTTAGTCGAGAATGTACTAAATATAAATTTTATTTATGTAGGCCTATAGAATAAAGATTAGAAAGGAATTAAACATTTCAATCAGTAATCTATCATTTTGTGCATAACGCCGAGGAGATGAAAATAATGTGGGTAAAATCTCTTTTTGTGGAATAGAAGTTATGAGATGATGATGTATTCAAAATTTCCCATCTAATTATGAGGTATGTTCCACCAACGGCAAAAATTGGAGTAAACTCTCGTCTACTCTTGTCCGGGAAGCAGACGTCACTTTTCGCGTGGAATTTTTTCCCAACAAATTCACAAAACGTGTTTTCCCACACCAGAAGATAGAGCAAACTCAATCAAATCAAAGATAAAATTGTTAGTCCCGACTTGCGTTCACTGTGTTAACATGAAATACACAAGCCAGGGATGGTACTAGGATTTGCCCAACAGGGGGTCCGACGTCCCTGACCGAGGGTGGGACATGTCCCCAACGAGAGCAAAGTGGGCGTGGTCGGACGTCCCTCAAAATCTTTCTATAGTGGTCAAGGGACGAAGCCCCCCAAAAATGACAATTTAGGAGTTTCAAAGGCTTATTTAATCGAATTTTGAGTCTATTAATTATGTAGAAAATAAATAATTTTTCCCCCGAAGAATGGTGGTTTTGTGGGGGATGCTCTCTCTGACTCTGACAGGGAACACAACCCCACCCTCGCCCACCTTTACAAGTATCCATGTCTGTATTTTTTACTTGTAAGATAACAATATCGGCTATAATACAATATATAAAGGAAAATATGTTTATTTTATTTTTAATTTATTCTGATTTTATTTCAATTACATCCAACAGCGGAATCGCCAATTACAAGATGTCTTAAACATACAATATATAAAAATATAGTAAAATACAAAACAAACAATAACAATCAATGGTAACAAATCAAAAATATTGAGAGTTCCTAGCTTAACTGAAAGAAGGCCTATACTGAATTAGCAACTTTGGATTTAAACATGGAAATACTGTTTAAAAAAAAAACCATTAAACGTGGAAATACTGTTGTATATTATGTTAGGGCACACATAGATGGGTTGTATAAGTGGAGCAGATTTGATTTAGTTCATTTAAAAACATTTTCATATTCATGTAAATTTTAAAAGAAATTAAATTTTTTTCATTAAAAAGACATAAACATTGGTAACATCCAACAAGTTTGGAAATTGTTTAATGTTCATATTTTATATCGATATATAAAAGAGGACAATCAAAGAGCCATTGATTATTAAATTGATTCAAAAACTCATGATTCATAACATAATATTTATTTATAGATTTGATTACCAATTTGATTACATGTATGGTTACAGTGCTATGCAACATTTCAGATTTTCTATATAAATTTACTAGGCCCTCATTAAGGGCATATTTCAGATGTGCAGCTTAAGCTGTATCTGTTTACTATATCAGCTCAGTAGTCTAATCGTTAAGATACTTGCCTTGATAGCAAGAAGTAACAGGTTCAAATCCCATCACAAGAATTTATTATAAGCTTCAAAGGCAACCGATTTGAAGCTTTTTCATTGAAGAGCTATTCTTGATACTGTTAATACATCATTTGTTTCTTTATTCCAGCAGTTTGTTTACACATATATTTAAATATTTGTTTACATATACATCCTTACTCCATATATTGCATAGTTAATTTATTTAAATATTTTTCATTATAATATGATGGTTTAATTGTTCATTAGAACTACTTAGAACTGGATAGAACTGGTTTTATAAAGTTTTTAAAACATTTGATAACATTTTCTGGATCTTCCCAGTGTGGGTAGTGGCTGATACTTTCGTGCAAAACATCCACGCTGCATTTTGGAACCAGTTGCCTGGAAAATAAATGTTAACAAAATTAGCAGCATGTAACATATAATAAGCCAATTCAGTCTGAACTGCACATGCCCGTATCCATGGTCAATCGAGGTCAATCGACCTATGTTGTGTGTATATCTATTTATGTTGATTGACTTTGATATAGACATGCGCAGTTCAAACTACTTATTTCATATTCATAAAAACACAATTTTAACCACAAAAACCATCACATTACTATCAATTTGTATGTGGATGATATACAGATATGAAAATAACATAACTTACCTAAATCTCTTCAAGAATGTTTCTGGACCATTAATTGGGTCACTCGGTCCATAAATGAGATGCACTAAAAAAATGAAATAAGCAAACATGTAAATATTGAAGAAATTATCTGCAGTGCAGTAGGTATTTACTGGGGTTTACGAGTGTGGGTCCCCCAAAAAAAGCCCTTCCTCTGCCTCTCCCCAAGTAGTTAATAATCACCCCGTATATCTTATATTGCAGGCTAACGCTGCTTCACTGGATCATTGAGCCCTCCTTCTATACCTTCAAACCCCCATCAGCCTAGTGGTGGCGCTGGGGGGGGGGGGGGAGCGTGGGCATAATTAAAAAAAATAATAACTTGCCTATCCAAATAATGCTATTTTGATTGCCAATTCCATATATTTTAATCTAACGCACATTTAGGACCATATTAAGCCATAAAAACTCTCCCCATTAACCCTAACAGGGTTTCTTTTACCCGTCGACCGAGGCTTCGTCGTCGCATTGGTTCAGACCCCTTGTCAACAAATTTCTGGCACCACTGCTGCATCAGCTCCCCCCCCCCATTTCAATACTCCCAATTAAACATGCCACTGCTGTAGTGGAAAAATTTTAAATAAAAGCATTGAATTGCATTTAAAAAGAAAATGATACTAAGATTAAAACTATTCAGATGATGTATTGTATTTAGTTTTCTTTATTTAAAAATATATTTAATTATTTTTATTCATTTCATCCTCATCCAACAGCACGTATCTTGCCACTTTCACTATGGAAGTGATGATCTACAAACTCAGAAAAACCTTGGTGTTTATAGGATTTGAACTAGAAACCTAGGAAACCAACCATCATAACCAACAAGCTAGTAACTTACAGGGAATTCTGGTTGCCTGTAAAACATGGACCCATCTATCACGATTCGCATGTCGCTGATTTATGTACTGTAGCAAGCTTGAAAGAAAGAAAAAATAGATTTAAACATAAAAGATAAGACGTTGTTCCAAGGCAAAACAACCTAACTTAACGAAAATATAAAAGCAGTTATATTGTTTTCCCATGGGACGACTGCATTAAGAAGTGACATAAATGAATGTTGAAAGTTACTGTATTAATATATTATATTCTTAAAATATCCTTAAATAACCCTCACAAGAGAGTTTAAAGGGGCCTATTGTACCTGTTCACTGCGCGGCAGCTTCCATGGGGCTGACCCAAAATCACTAAATTCATGGTTGAATGAGGACCAATTTATTATTATTATTATTATTATTATATTTTTATCATTTAAATGTTCACATTCAGGGGTACACACTTCTACCATTATGATAGGTACACTTACCCTGCAGACACCATGTAACCGTCATTCCAGCGAATACCAGACCAGAAATCAACTATGTCCTGCTCACTTGGCTTTGTATATTCACCAAACACATCTGAAATACTATTATAACTTATTGATTAAGATTAATTACTTATCACTTTTTATTTCACAGCAATTAATCATTTGGCAACATGTTCATTAGATGTTACTGATTATTTATTGTGAATTGTTATATTACAAAACTTAGGACTAGAAAAGAAAATGTTATGTTGGTGTAACCCGAATGACAATATAAAATCGGCCTACCCTTGACATTTTATTTAAATTTCATGACATGTTTATGTTAGGAAAGTAGGCGTGGTCGAGCATCACTTAAAATGTTCCAAAAGTGGTCCAAGGGTGAAAATATGACAATTAGGGGCTTTAAAGGCTTATTTAATTGCTTTTATAGATTTCAAGGCCTTTGCTGAATATTGTGGCAGGAAAAAAAAATAAATGAAAGGAAATAAAAAATCCCTACCTACCTACCCTATTTTCTGGGGCCCATTACGCAAACATAAGATTTTTTTTAGGCCTTATTATTGTTTACTTACTGATTCCTTTTTGGTAACACATATGTTAACTTATTCAGATTTCTGAGGTTACATCATATCGCCAAAAAGTATAAGATTAATACAAAACAACGAACAACAATATAATTATAATTGGGCCCTAAAACTTATTTGATATCATTTTAATTAAGAATTTGAGTTGAGGTATCTACAGTGTTTGTCCTGCACGTTTGTGATTTTAAACTATTTGTATTGATTAAATATTTATTAGGTATTAATTATTTATTCCTTATTGATTTTTGCAAAAATACCTCAATTGATATATTTCTAATTAGAATTATTAGTAAATTAGAAAAAATAGAACTAAAAGAATTTAAAAAGAGAGAAAATACAAACCTTTTTCTGAAAACCATAAAATTTGTAAGTCTCATTAAAACTGGTGCTAAATATTTGTTTAATAAAACCTGAAAATATAAAACATTAACTTGTAATACAAAATATATAGCATGGTAAAATAGTAAAACAATACTGTATATAGCTACAGCAATTGTTTATTATACTTCATGCTGTAATTTAAGAGAATTGCTTTGATGTGCATCATGTAGCCACCCCAAGTTGTCAACTACTATAATGTTGTTGCCATGGTTTCACTTTAGCTTTGTTGTTCTCATGATTCCTACCATTATAATGTTGTTACCACAAAAATGTAACAGATCGCTGAAAATGGGGCACATCATTGTGTCGGCTGGCACAACTCCATGGAGACCATAACGCGTACACGGCGCATGTGACTCATTGTTTTCAATGGTCATCTGCTCAGACTGCCTGATAATCAGCAGATGTTGTTACGTAGTCAAACACTCGCGGTGACGCATCACTTGGCGATGCAGTGTGCACCCGGCTTAGAGCCATACTAAATCCATAAAAAAAATATATAACAAATAAATAAACAAATAAATACATAAACAAATAAATAAATAAATAAATAAACAAAAATTATTTAAAAAAATGAACAAACCTTTTGAATTAGCCTAGGAGAGTGAGTTTCTGGTAAGATTCCTAAAATCAAAAATAAAAACAATATATGAAAGGGATCGCAACATATGATAAAATAGAATAAATTTTCTAAGGGTAATTATTGGCCTGTGTGCCTAAATATGATGAATATGTAAATATTTATAGTTGATTCACCTTAACCTATGTACTAGCTGTCATGGTTTTTACACATAATGTTGTTATAGTTTAAACATGGTTTCAACCATTAAAATATTGTTACCACGGTTTTAAATATTATAATGCTCATCAAAGAATTCATCTGGTCCTGATGATGTAATATTATAGATGTAAATTTCCCCTAAAATTTTGTTTACTTGGGAAACAATATATTTATTTTATTTATAAATTGAATTATTTACACTTGAGTAAGAGGTTTGAATTGCTAGAGTTTCTCAGATGTACTATTATTGTGTAAAATGTCTTCTCTGAAAAAAAGCTTTGTAGTGGATCACGACTTTTTTTTTTTTTTTGTAATAAATTTTTTTTTTGTATTTTAAAAGGAGAGCCAATTAACTTAGATATTATAATTGATCCAAGGTTGTCTACAACAACAACACTGTCGTACGATGCAGCTTAATGAGGAACAGTCTTAAGCCGTGGTGAGAAATATTAAACATATTTTATATTCTACGATGAGACTGTCCCTAACGCAGACACATCGTGTCAGAGTTAACTTACACAGACCCGAAATAACAACAGATCGTGTCGGGCTGCGCCGTTCGACACTGTCTTAGTTGGTGATAAAGCCGGGTGCACACTGGAGACCAAAATGCAACAAGACGCGCAACGAATCATCGTCAACTACGATCCACTGAAACGGGCACTGTTGTGTCAATAAGTGCTCACGCTAAGCATAGATGGACCTGTTGGCCAAGACTGAATATGTCCGGCATAAAAGCACCCTAAATACTTGATCAAAACTTTGAACTATTAAAAAAACTTAACAAACCTTTTGAATAAACTTTGGAAAGTTAGTTTCTGGTAAGATTCCTAAAATTGAAATAATAACAACAACAATAGCAACAACAACAGCATTGATAACAATAATATGATGAAAGGTAATTGTTATTATCGAGATGGAATAGAATGGATTTGCATTAGGAGAATCAAGTACCATACAGGGGTAGATCTGAAGATCGTGAGTTTAAGTCCCACTGGAGAACAGCTTGCGATTTTTTCGCAAGTGTTTTCACACGTACTGAGTGTTCAGCACATTTTCACGTCACACTTATAAATAATATGATGGTGGTGATGTTGATGACAATCATAATGACAATGATTATGATAAAATAAATCAATAACTGCAGGTATACTTTAGATACATAATTGAGTGGGAATAATTAATTAATTAATTAATGAGATGCATACCTCCATTTAGTAATGTCACACTCTTTATTACAGGCTCATCTTTTCCATTTTCAAACCTGAATTATTTTTATTGCAAATACAAAAATCAGTTAATAAATATTTGGTGAATGAATTGTTATTGTTATAAATTTAGCCTAGAATTACATAACTAAGGAGAATAGAGTAATCAAAAAAAGAAGGAAAATACTACTGTAAACTAATATTAGTTATTTGATATTTAGGAATATTCATGAATTCACATATTTCATGTAGAGATCACAATCCCGAGATTGTGCCAACAGGGTTGGGTAGGGCTTAAGCCCCATCAGACTGGCCAAGCCCCCTCACCTCAACACAACTTGTTGAACCAAAAAAAAAAAACTACCTTTTTTACCCTCTTAAAAACTATGTTGGCCATAATGTCTTAAAAAGCTTAAAATGGCTCGAACGTCCACAATATTTTTAGACACCAGAGTGTTCTCTCCAAGCCCCCACCAGGGAAACCCGTAGGCTAGGCTAGTGTCAGACTCCTGTTGAGCCTTGTCCACACTAAAATTTTATTTCACAAAGAGTGACATGCCTAAATATGGTCATGATGATAATGACATGATGACCATACATAGGCACATGATGACTATATATAGGCACATGATGACCATATATAGGCACATCATGACCATATATAGGCACATCATGACTATATATAGGCACATCATGACTATATATAGGCACATCATGACTATATATAGGCACATCATGACTATATATAGGCACATCATGACTATATAAAAGCACATCATGACCATATATAGGCACATCATGACCATATATAAGCACATCATGACCATATATAGGCACATCATGACCATATATAGGCACATCATGACCATATATAGACACATCATGACCATATATAGGCACATCATGACTATATATAGGCACATCATGACTATATATAAGCACATCATGACCATATATAGGCACATCATGACCATATATAGGCACATCATGACTATATATAGGTAAATCATGACTATATATAGGCATACAAGAGTTTTTTGTCAACAAAAAAAAGCTGAAGGCTTATAGTCTGCTAAATGTATATCATTAAGCCATCCCTCTCATCAAACAAGAAAAAAATGTAAGGGTCAATATTTTTAGAGGTTTACCTTGCAAGTAGTTCCTGGGCAACAGTGTCACCGAGGTCATGAGCCAGGATGTGAATATTATTTACAGTTAGCTCTTCAAGTAGTGTTGTGATCATATCGGCTTGTTCAAAAACAGTGTAATTGTGTCCTTTCTGGAAAACAAACATAAATAAAATACTGACACAATACGTACAAAAGCTCTTCAAGAATTACAGCCATAACCATAATGCAAAGTGCATTTATTCTCACAGTAAGTTGAAAGGATTTATGATGTTTATTTGAGCAAATTATTTGAGGATGACAGGAAAAACATCAAGGTGAATTCCCTTTTAAAGAGCTGTATTTATTGCAAAGGATGTATAAGCCAATTTGTAGTTTGAACTGCACATGCCCTTATCAAAGTCAATCAACATAAACAAACATAAAACAAGATAGGCTATGGCATGTGACAACAAACTACAAATTTCTAAACACAGTGAATGTGAAAGGTAGGGTGTAATTTGGTGGGGTGGGGGCATGAATAGCTATGTGTTCTGGGTCACCCACCCATGTCTATTTTTCTAATACGGACTCTGCAAATACAGAGACTACCATTATCATGTGGGTAAATATTTTTTTACAGAAAACCTGATAATGTGGAGAGAACTTTAGATTATAAATATACAGATGAGAACAGATCTCTATTTTGGAGTCACTTTTATGTTGTTATACAGTATTAAAACAGATAAGTGGTAAGGTACAGAGAAAGAAACTTACAGGCTTATCACTGAAGCCAAATCCTAGCATATCGGGAGCTATAATGCGTCCAAATTCTTCATGCAAACCAGGAAAAATCTGTATCAAAAGAGAACTAACATTCACATTTATCCACCAGTGGTAATTCAGGGGCATGGAGGTGTGGCAATGACTGTTAGAGGTACAGTAGGTATTCCTTTTATAGTTGTAATTCATATAGCAGAAGGCAATGTGAATATTGGATGGAAGGCAAGAAAAACTGTCAGACCACTTTTCAATAGAGAATTTGATAACTTTAACCAAAGAGTATAGAGCTGCAAAAGATCAGACTATCGGAGTTTCTTTGAAAGGCAATCCTATCTCGAAAAGTGCTACCACAAATTAGTGGGCATCCTTCAAAAGAATCGTTTTTCATTTCTTTGCATGCATGCCAAATCAAGGCAGTCGGACCTCTTCAATTCTACACTCTTTACTTGAACACTCTGACAAACTAAAATGTATTGAATAAATAGTTGACAATAACCCTATTATTATATTTTTGGAGAGAGCAGCTTAGCTCAGTAGGCAAATCTGGTGGTAGCCACTGTGCGCTGAACCGTGGAGATCTCTAGGTCCCCGGTTTAATTCCCATCGCTGCCTCTCCTTGTATTTCAGCTAGACGGCTGAAATACAAGTAACAATAGTGCACCGTCTTTCGAATGAGACGTTTAAGCTGTTGGTCCTGTATGCATTTATGGCCCATGTGCACGTTAAAGAACACTCTTCGGAAAAGAGTAGGGGATTGTCTCCCGGTGTATGCCCCAAAATCACCACCAGAAGGACCCCACTGGATATAAGTCTTCTTCTAGACTTCCGTGGGCTATCCTTGGTGTTTACACCGAATAAATCCATTCCATTCCAATATTATTAGGCTATGTCTATAGTAGAAAAATATCCTGACCAATCAACCTGGATTTCTAAAAGTCATGGTGCTTATTTTACTTTTTTGTCCTCTTAAAAGACAATGTCGGTGAAGAGGTAAATTCTTATGAGCCACCATGTCAGAAAATACAGGTGGAATGACAAGGCTTTTTGTTCACTGTACAGTACCTTCAAAAAGTCAAAACTAGATGTAGGAAAGCCATGGATGCATAAAAGAACATCATTGCTCTGCCCTTTGCCTTCATCATCTATGTGTAGGAATTAGAAATTAAAATTATAGTAACTTTGGTATATTGTACTGTAGTATTAAAGTTCAATAGTATTAACTTATATAACCATTGGAATTTGTATATTATTGATACCACTTCACCTGTAAAATGTCAAATTGACTTGACAGCTTGAATAGTCAACCTGAGTATACAGATAATCTAATCATACAATTGGTCATTTATAACTTTACCCTAGTCAATTGGACTTGACCTTTCTCACACTATGATTCTGTGTCAGTTTTGAGCCCAAGTTCTAAAGTTTGTAATATATCCTAATTAGCAGTTTTTTGGTAAACAAGTATAAGGTGACTTAATTGAGACATACCCCCATTACCTTGAGAGCCCGGGGGAAGAGAGAGAGAGGGACAAGAGAGATTCAGTGATCAGACACCAGAGAGAAGAGATTAAGAACTGACTCCACTCTGAATGGGTTCAAATCTTCAGCATCTCAGTAACCTGGAATTAGTACCCTAACCCTAACCCTATTGTATATATGTACAGTAGAAAAGTTGATGCTGAATAAAAGCTTTGCAGTGTATTGGTACAAAAAGAACTGTGTTTATATCTCATTGAAAGTCACCTCCGACCAACTACAATATTACAATATAGAGAACACACAGCTCCACTAATGATAAATATATATGATTAATAAAGTCAGCCTGTATAACATGACAAAACACATGTAGAAAATTGTCATGGTTCTCCACAATAATTTTGTAATGTTAGTGTAAAAAGAAATTAAAGTTTTAAATTAAATGAGTGAATACTATATGATATGTGGTTTTTACCAAGGTAAAATATGTTTTTATTTTGGAATCTGAACATCTTTCCAGACTCTATCCATTCCTCTAATCTATTTGACAATGGATCAGCTGGGTAGTTGAGAAACACAGCAACAGCAACAACAATTGTTCCCGAGAATAAGTATGATTTGAAAAACATCTGCAAAAGAAAAATAATAAAATTGTAAGTCAACCAAAAAAAAAGTAACATTACAGTATTTGAATTTTATATTATCAGTATCACTGTTGTTAATATTATACAACAAGATTATGGCATTATTATGCGGTAAAACAAATTGATATACTTCAATCGACCAAAATTATTTAATTTCTCTTCTAATTATGTATGGCCTTGCACGACCTTGATGAAAAGCACCCATGGGTGATTCAAGTGTCTCCATGTTTAAATAAAGTATATTATAAAAAGTACATTTTGATCATTAATATAGTAAGTTCATATAATTATAGACTTGTTTTTTGTAACAGAAGGTACTGGAGTCCTACTGTATGTTTGAAGTGGAATTTTAAGTAACGCGGCCTACCTACTCCTACTAAATTTATACCTCCATGCTCCGAGTCCTACTATGGCTTTCGTGGTTCAAAACACTCCTTCCTTACATTTGCTATATGTGTCTGTCATTAACGCTTTAAAGGCACCGTCTCCTAAATTCCAAGTAGGTAGGCTTAGACATGGTGTTATAATTATGTTATAACTCCATGGCCTAGACTAGATAGATAGTCTAAATTAATTATGCCCTAGGCTGCCTCCTACTCTGTCTAGGCCTAGAAGGGTTCTACAGACTGGTAATGGAATGAATTACCTTCCTTTCTTACTTAGGTAGGTTCTAAACTTTAGCTTATGATATGAATGCCTAGACTAGGCCCTAGGCCCTAGGTCTGTCTGCTGTACTGTGATAGTATATGTTGCAGAATGTCCAACATAACGTATGGGTAACTCAAAAAGTCCATGCCATAAAATGGGAAAAACATAACTAACTCACTGCAGTACTCTGATCATACCATCAAGGGTGATAGAGATATACACTGTGTACCTCAGTCAGCCGGCTCTGGCCAAAATCCTGTTGACATCACCACCTGCACGACCAACCACCTGCTCTGCTCTGACACACTGATGGATTGATCGTGTACAAGGACGACACGGTCGGTTTTGATTTGTTTATCATCGATGAACTTTGACCTATTCAGAGCGCAAAAATTGAATAAGTTCACGCTTGCGCAATTAATAAAACAAATAGCAACTGACCCCTTCATAAGTACTGCCGAAATAAGATAGGGGCCTACACTGTTGCTATACAATGTCAGCTAGGAGTAGAATCGGAATAGGTTCCCGTGATGTAAGCATTGATTTATATTAGTGAAATGTCATTGACTTTAAGAAATTATTTTGAGTATTTCAAGGAATGTAACGTAGCGTAGGCTAGGCCTAGGAGGACTCCAGAAGGACTAGGCTAGGCCTAGCTTAGCTAGCCTAGCCTAACCTAGGTAAGACCTGAACTGAAGTCTGGACACTCAGCACGCATGTTGCCAGTTGATTGGTAGGCCTACCTATACTAGCACTGTCTCTTATACACATCTAGATGTGTATAAGAGACAGTGACTATATATAGGCACATCATGACTATACAGTATATGGGCACAACATTTTTTATCAAAGAAAATTTGTTAGCTGGACAGGACTTAAGCATTGTAATGAGAATGTAAAATGATCTATTTATGATTTATTTATTTTATGATTTATTTATTTATTTTATTGCATATTACTGTGCAGTTCGCAAATCATTAGTTTAGAAATCTTGATCCATGAATAACCTTGAAATCTGTGAGTTTTTGTTCATCCGTAGTAAAACTGGTAAATGATAAATTATCCGCGAGTCTCACGATCAATCCGTATAAGTTGGCAACTATGGCCTAGCCTACACGGCACCGCAGCTAGCGCGCCCCCCCCCTAACTACTTGTGTGCATAGCCGAAGCTAGGTACAGTAGGTATCGTTAGCCATCAGGGCCATAATAAAAACGGCGTTGTCTTTTTTTAACGTCTTTACGTTGTTAAATTCCAAACAATCACAAGCTTTAAACATCGCCGAAAGGACCATAATAAAAGCGCCGTTTAGTTTTATGTTGGCCGAAAGGGCCATAATGAAAACGTTGTTACGTTGTTCACTTTCAACCAATCACATGCTTGAAACAGCGCCGAAAGGCCCATAATAATAAGTTAAAAAGCTCCTGTTGGCGGCATTGGGCCTAGGTTAGGGCAGGCCCTCTTTGTAGGCCCTGTGGTAGGCCTGGAAATTTATAGGCCTCTCCCTAGGCCTATGGAATTCTAGTTCTGGTGAAAAACTGCATAAACTCCACAGCAGGGATGTACATACTGTATATGCAGGTGAATGGTGACTGAGCCTTACATTAAATTACCATTACTTAAGGCTCCTTTTCTATTATCAGTTCCCTTGAATATTCTTCTCCACAAGTTTTATCGGAGAACTAAACATACTAAAAAATGTATATTCATTTCAGATGCTAAATAAGAAAGTACCAGAGAATCCGAGGTACAAGTATGTGAAGACAAAGATTGATACTGGTAAGTAGGCCCTAGTTTTATCCAGAGTGCAAACTAAAAGCCTGTGCAGGGAATACTATGTATCCTCGTCGCAAAAATTTGGCCCAGAAATCTGTACGGGCATTTCGGAAAATGATTTTTCTGAAAATTGGGGTTTGAGCTACTCTTGATATATAAAATAATGTAATAGTATTATGCAGTAATTACGATTCTGCACCCCTATTTTCCTACCGCTTTTTTTATGCAAATTTGAGCTGGTTTTTGAAGTTTCACAGTATGGAATTTCACCATATTCATGAGTAAACACACATGTATTTTCCTTATAATAAGACAATTCTAGTTCTAAATGGGCATGTCAAGGCATGTCAAGGCATGTCATATCAAGGTCAATCAATCCTGATGATGACGTAATTAATGTCGAAATATTGAATCCTAACACGATGGTGTGCATTTTAATACTTGGAGTATGTATTATGCTTTCGCAACATAGGTTTATGTCGATTGACCTTTGATACGGGCATGCGCAATTAGAACTACGAATTGGCTTATTATTACATGTATTTTTTTCTTAAGTTATTGTATATTTGCACAAGTAACATGTGATTCGTATACAAATTCTTACTTCTTATAATGTTTGTTTTTGAATTCTATGACATTGATTGCCATTGCCAAGTTCATAATTTATTATAACATTTAGAAATAGTATGACACTGTTTGCAGCAAAAATTTAAACAAGATTGATAATATAATTTTCAATATTAAAAATAACAAATTTCTGTTATAAATTTTAAAAGGCCTACAGGTATTTAATTTTTCACTTTCACTTTTGATTCATCATTATTTGAATTTCAATATCTGATTAAATGAAGTAACCCTATTTGTTTACAGGTGCTAGTGTAACCAAGTATATGGCAAAAATTGAAGACATTCGAAGAAGTAAGTTCTATGACATAATCTGAAATTGTTTATTAATAGAAGTTAGAATAAAAGTGTGAGATGTAAACAGGACCTGTGATTTGAGGTGAGTGTTGTACACCACACCATCGCATACCTAAACACCTATCAGAATATGTACAGTTAGATGCCCTGCAGTTTATTTTTCAAGCAATTGCAATGTTTTCTAAATAAACAACATTAGCAAGATTGTTAATACTGATCCTGATCATAACTAAGCAAAAATTGTTATACTGATCCTGATCATAACTAATCATTATCCCACTGTTAAATTTTTCATTTGTTTAAGTTGAGGAGGATGATGCAGTGGCCCTTTCTTTTGAAAATCATTCAATACCCATACCTCGAGCCTATATGCCTGAATCTTATGACTTTCTTGTGCGGTTTTTTTTTCCTTTTCCACTAAACTTTATATGTTTCATTTTAAATACAGTTTTCTTGGTTTTTAAAGCAAATCATAGCATAATGTATTTAATTTTGAATGCTGCCCTCTAGAGGCATTTTTGGAAACATGAAAAACTGTCAGAATATAAATAGAGGTTAGAGATTACTACATCTCTGATATCACAACTCCATGGGCCGATTCGGACGAGTAAAATTTAACTGGGTACCACCAGCTGAGCGGTCGCATACGGCAATTAAATAATGCCCCTGGGTATAGAAAATTCGAAAAACATCTGGCCCCAAAACCCACCTTTTTTTACTGGATATTTCAATTACACCTTGCCTCAAGGCGTAATTAATCACCCGTAACAAGGCCCAGGTCACAAGTTGACCCTTCAGATTTGTTAACGCCGGGTCAGATTGCACTGGACAAAAAGAAGCTCGCGACCATGTTGCATGATTCTTCACGTTGTTGCCCAAGCTTTCTTTCCACGTTGGGCGTTGTCTTCGTTGTTGCTGGTTTAGATCAAATCCGTCGTCAAGAAGCAATATAAAAGTTGTCATGATAGTTAGGTCGGCTAGGTTAATCTTAATTCGGCGTCAATTTGTAAGGATAATCGCAAGGAAATGAGTAAATTGTATAAAAAGTAATCAGAAATAGCGTAAATTCGTGTATGAAGTATTGAAATTGCCGCGAAAACATTGCTAATTTGACACGGTTTCGTCACTCAGGTCACAAACTATTCAGAATTCTGACCTTGCAGAAGCTTGTAAAATACGTAACTTCCGTCAAATTAATGGGTAAAGGGATTGTTATTTTACTCGTCCGAACGACCGTCACATTTAGCCCCGAGGTTATTAGTAGATTACCCATGTAATTGGGTTTACGTCCGAATCCAACCCATGTGACACTCCTTCATTACTTAGCAACATTACCCAAGGAGTTGATAGGGCCTAGTGCTCCCATACCCTTTTCAACTAACAGTCAAATCTAAAGTAACTTTAAAGCATCTTTGATTTTCGTTAATTTGTATTGTTATACTGCATTGTTTTTTAGTCTTTGTGTTTCAGTTTAAGATAAGATAACTTTATTGTCCATCAAATATGTAGAAATTCTTGGTACATTTAACGTAAAAATACAAAAACAAATTAAATTACATCACAATTTGAAATTGCACTACAAATATATATCTCAAATTGTTATCAAAGGAATTAGGAAAACACATAGTAAAATTACTTCAAAACTCAAATTGCATTACAAAAAAAATTATCTATAAAATTGTTTTATCAAAAAGGAATATCATCAGGTATATATAAAATGTCAAGAATTAAATACACTTAAATCGACCATCATTCATCATTATTAATCATTTTCATTATTACCATCAGTGCCGCCAAATCATTATCACAATAATTTATATAAAATTACACAATAAAAATATAGAAGATATAGATTTTAACTTTGTTCCCAGGGTACATAACTTAATGTTTACATCATTCCACAATGACAGGAGGTGAAATGGCGTTGAGGTAACCTCCTACTCTTCTCAAAGTTTGCAATGTGCTCTTTAAAGTGCATTTGATGGTAAAAGCCAGATGTTTACACGATTTCCGGTCTACCAACCGTGTCCTAGGGGAGGAGTTCCATCTCACTGGTGCCAGTGTAAAGGATGTAGTTAGCATTTCAAATATTTACTCTCTTACTGTAATTCAAATATTTACTGTAATAAACTGATCTATTTTCCTCTCATCAATCCATTTCCTAATTGTAATTATTTATAAATAGCTATATAATGTCACATAATATATTTATTCCATTATTCTCCTTAATTATGAACGTTAATAGATTTTCTTTCATGCGGAACTGTTTAAGAGTGGTTGCCATAGGAACCATTCAATTGCTGCTTCTCTCACTTCTTCAGTTATTAAGATATTGTCCAAAGTAATCCCAAAGATAAATTTTATCAAACTAGACACTGTGTTTTGAACATGTATCTTTAATGTCTATATTGAATTTTAATTCGTATAATTTGTATATTAAATTGCATTTACTAATTTGTATAGCATTGACATAATAATAATGATAAAAATTAAATACATTCATAATAATATTAATACGGTAATAATAAAAATATAAAAATACTAAAGAAAATTAATCTAAAAAAGATATAAAATGATATAATAATAATAATAACAGTTAGTAATAGCAACAATCATGTATTAGTAGAATGTATTTTAACAGCAATTAACAAATATAGTATCTTGTAAATTGAATATAAAGTATAAGTGTCATGTATCTGGGAATCTATTCCTTACTATTGCACTTATATTCTCCAATAATGCAATAGTAACTCCAATTATTATGTCAAATAGTTATTTGTTTTTGTTTTGTTTGCGTATTAGAATTATTTTCCATTACAGGGGTCCCAACTCTCCTGAAACTTGCGGGAGTGTCCTGGAAATAGGGGCGACCTTCCGCACTCCCGCAAGCAAGCAACCTATCTCCCACAAATGGAATTGCCTTTCTTTATCTGTGCGTAATGGAAATTTTAATTTATTTAAGAAATATGTTGTGGAATTGTTCATATTACTTTTTTATTTTGTCAGACTATACCTTTTGCTGATGAGTGCTTGTTGATTCCAAACATTTATTGTACAGGAACTCCGTTCCTTTTGGTATGCCCGCCTCCCCACTCACCAGCAATCTGTATACTCATTGTTTCAGTGGATTTTCTTTTTCTTTCAATTTTATAATGTTTTCATTTTGTATTGTTGTTTTTATGTATTCCCTGTGTTGATATTTATATATTTTTATGGAGGAAATAAATATAATAATTATAATAATAATCATAATAATAATAACAACAACAATTAATTATTATTTGTATGCTTTCACTATCTTATTATCAATTGTCTCATTGAAATCAGTGCTGAGGGTATCACTTTGTGCAGTAATAAACTGAAATGTCTTAACAAAAGTCATACTACTGTAGATCAGCGGGGATTCAAAGGAGAGGGGATTCAAATGGAGGGGGACAGCCGGCCCAGGCCCCAAAATTTTTCTAAATTATTTTTAAAAAATGGGAAAAAAATGATATTCTAAAACTTTGAGAGTGTCATTTTCAGCCATCTAGAGGTGCTATAATCATCAATTTTCTTACCTCATGGTGGGGCTGAAGCGGTAGACCTACCCTACAATTGTCCCTTCCTGCCTCCCCCCCCCATCCCCTTCTATTTCGAATTCCTGGATCACCCACTACAGATCTCCCGGAAATGACTTCTTCCAACTTGGGACCTCTGTAATCATTGATAAGTCCATATAACTTTGCAAGTTTCGGAGTCAACAGCCCACCATTCTTGGTTCATACAGTGATACTAAAATTACTAGAGTTGAACATCATAAATTTTTATTCTACTGATGGTTCTATATAAACAGTCATTATTTTTCTTTCCACACATAATTAAAGCTTTAGGCTTCGGAGGAGAAAAAAAATTGATATTGTATTATTGATTTTTCTAAGACACAAAAAGGGTGTTTGACGAAAAACTTGGAAACGGTTAACAAGCAATTAGCACTATGCTATGATTTATTTCATTTCATTTATTTCGCCAGTTAAAACAACAAACTTAATTGCTGTAAACAGTTTTTTCCTCCGACAAGGGTAGCTCCCCTTTTGGAAAGTAAAAAGAAAGAAAAAGAAATTATAAAATCGCACAAAACTTCTTAGAGTTATTTCAAGGTGTGAAGAAAACAAACAAAAAATTACCCTCTAGGGTAGTGTTGTCTCTCAGTGGGTTTCTTCTCCCCCCCCCCCCAATTTTCGGACATCTGGATCCGCCCCTGCTATGTCAATTATTTTATCAAACAAATAATTGAAAAGTTAATTAATTTGATCAAGCAATTATTCAATCAATAAAAAATACCTTTTAAAAATATCACATGCTGGAGAAATAAAACTGAATATACTGTACCTTTAAATTTACATTTTCTTGATATGAAAGACCTCGTTTATGCCTCACTATTGTTTTCTTTACATTGAACCTCATTATTTATAAAGAAATTGAGTTCTTTTAAATTTCATTAATGTATAACACAGAGCATGCCTCCAAATGTTTTCATTCTAAAGATGAGTTCTTCACAATGCTTACCTGGTGAAACAGATCACCTGTGTATTAGATAGAATGGTTTCCATGGTGATTATGACTAGTCATTGTAGTCTTTTGGATTGAGATGAGAATAATTGAAATGTTTACAAAAGCCAGAATCCAAACAAACCAATCTGTCTATAGCATTATAACAAGTTTCAATTCAGTATGGTTTCTATGGTAACAAGAACAGCAGTTTGATCTATGTGGACTAATAACAGATTCAGACACTAGGGTGTTGACAGTCGTAATTGCTCTATTAGCCAAGCAGGTTGGCTTTCAATTTATTCTGAAATGTGTATTTATACGAATCTTTGTAAGCTCTTCTTTGTGGATCAAATATTGTAATTATTGTGATGTGTAGGTACTGTAGCATCCTGAAATCAGAAAGTGTTTGTTGATTTTCCAAACATTTGTTTATGTTGCTAGAGATTATGGATATTCACTTGGATTTTGATGTTAACTAGTAACTAGTATTGGTATTACTTTGGGTTAGCCACCATTTGGAGTCCAGTATAACTTTCTGTAAGTTAGGTTAATGCATTATTGTTATTAGTTAGTTTATGTTTAGCCATTTACATATGTTTAATTTTTTAATTTTATCAGTTTAAGTTAATGTAAAATCTAATTAACGAGAAAGCAAAAGCATATTGAAGTGACTTAATACTTAATAAGTTTGACTGAAATTTGAAAGAGAAATTCTTTCTCTCCAATTGTGTACTGGTAAATTCAGCATGGATTTAATTTTTATATGTAGTATTAGGCTGTAACATAATTTGCGAAGATTTGGTAGCACAAGTGTAGGAAATACCTAGGTAAAATTTGTAGTTAATGTCTCTGCCCCGTCCCATATCAAAGTAGCATAATTTGTCACACTATTTTAGCGAAGATCTTTTGCTAACCTCCGTGCTAAATCTACCGTTGATATAGCCGCGAACAGACAGAACTGTGGTGTTATTCACCATCGGGAGCCAGCAAAAGTTTAATTTGGTACTGTAGTCCATATAGTAGTCCAACCGACACCAGATTTTGGTAGATTGTAGTTCAAGTCCCTAATAATTTTCAGTAAAATAGGTAGCACAAAGTGTCTCATATCTTGGAGTGGCTGCTGCACCTCCCCCGTAAGGCTTGTATACAAGTGAGCTCCCCGGGCCTAAATCCTACTGCTAGAAGAATAAAAAAAATATTGACTTTATATTTTGTTATATTCCAAAAAAATATGGAGCTAGTAGGTAAATAAAAAACAATAGTATTGATATGTCAACAAATTTATAATACAGTAATATTATCTACTCATTTCAAATTCTCATTAAGGTGCTCTGAAATCAATGATTTGAGATCTCGAGCCTATTGATCAAAGAACTCAAGGAGCACATTAACCTTGGAAGGTTGTGTCAAAGTTTATTGTTAGCTGTGTGGCTATATACTTCTAAATCACCATAAAAAATATAGCAAAATACTTAATTTGCATTAGTTTGATAAGAGGTGTATTTTGAAGGAATAATATCAAAGACAGTAAATTCATTTGGATAGGTACTACTGGAGCACATCGATGGAGCAGTGATTCTGAATGTACAATTGCTATACTAAGATCTACATTCACATCTACTGGGTATCTTGTGGAACAAACTTGGATTTGTTATACTTTTGTTTTTTGTAGTATTGTCCTCCAACATTATCATTTCTATAGTGTTTCACACTCACAGCATCCCAGAATTCATTCAGAGACTATGCATCTGTAACCCTCTGTGACCTAGATTTGACCTCAACAAAACAAAACAATGCCAATTAGTAATAGGTCTGTTGGTAATGTTAGTTCACGAAGCCCTGAACGAAAGCATGTGTCGAGTGGTACACAGGTGGGAAAGCACGGTACATTTGGGCCGTCGCATGGCTCCATTTTACGTGATCGATTAACGTTGAAAGTGCTTAAAGGAGAACTGACAGGTAAGTTGAAATAGTAATTGCTCAAGTTTTCTAAGCTACTAGTATAATTGTTTCACTACTCTCTAAAAGGGAAGCTGCTGTCGTCAAGTATCTGCATTCCATAATGCTTAAGCGAGACTTTTTATACCTGTTTCGCGAACTCAATTTTTGAAAGGTCTTCAGAGGGAAGCAGAAAAGTAAAATTAAAATTTTGTTTTCTTATTTTAGCAAATCAAAAACATCCAGAGGAGAAAATAAAATGTTATTGGTGAATGTAAACAGTGTAGTAATAGGATGATTAAATCCTTTAAATTTATATAATTAGGAAGAACTAAATACATTTTTTTTTAGATTTCAAGGCAGCAGCGTGCAAAATAAAAATAAATTAAATTCAAACAAATAAATGTCCATGATTTGTGCCGGCGGGTGTGCAAATTTGACCAAAAAATTTTTTTTATTTTTATTCGAAATCATCATTGGTGGGCGGTGGGTTCGCTAAACAAGGTATATAAAAATCTCACCTTATTCTTCTTCCAACGACAGTGTTGTGTTGCCAGGCAATGCTAATGATATAATTGGATTTCATCTTAGCAGTGCAAAATGTGGTTGGACTACAGTTTACTAGGTTACCTCTGTCACATGACCAAGGGGTGTGGTCACAAGCTTTTTAGGGACATCCCCACTAACTGTATTTTTTTTTCTCTTTACAGATTACAGGTATAAAAAAGATGAAATTTTCAAGCGCATGAAAGTAACAACATTTGTACAATTGGTAAGTTTTTTAATGTAAGATTTAAGTACACATCAGTCATTCAATTGTCCTCGCTACTAGCATTCTCATGTTACCAATCGTCATTGTCACCGGCTTCATTGCATTATCAATGTTACCATCAGTTTCATGTCATTATTACTGTTTTTATCTCATCATCTATAGCTTTTTCATTGTCTTCATCATTATTATCATCATCATCGTTAATCATCACAACTTTAATCTTCCTGTCAAAATATTTCTGGTATCATTAATCATCCTATTAATATGAAATTATGTATTTTAATGCTCGTTGTGTTTGATTTTGAGTTGCGGCTTTTGGTGGTTAAAATGTTTGTATTGTGTTTTACATTCTGCCGTAGATACTGGTGCAATACAAATCCTTGTTGATTAGTTGATTCCAATCCCAGGCAGTATTAGTGAGGGTGCTAATGTGTTCGCAAAGTTGAAGTTGGGGGCTTGATCATTTTAGGGGCGCTAACTCACAAAATAAGGTTATTTTAGGTGATTTTTAACTACTTGACTGTGATTTTAGGGTGTGCGCAAGTATTTGTTGGAGGGGCATGCACCCCTCTGGGCCCAGATACTGTACATCACAGGGTCCTGGGTTCAATCCTGCAAAAAACTACAAAACAATTCCACTACATAAAGCCTGGCACTCAGTCTGACCAACAGTCGTAAGCCGACGTGATTCTATAGAGAACGCAACGTCACAACGTGCGCAGAACAGATCGTTTAAATGAAGGATAGATGGAGACTGTCACCGTCTAACTCTCACAGGGAGCAGAGTCAGATTTATCGGCCAACGGTCGTAGAGCGCAGTGAGCCCTGGTTTCAGCCTCACTTTTAAGTCTTACTAGAATCACATCACAAAAAGTATTCATTCCCAGTAGTTGAGTTCTGGCAGTTGATTAGAATGTAAAAGAAAATTGTGTTGATTTAATCTATTGTTTAAAATTTTCGCCATATTAATTTCCATGTAATAATATTTTGCTTCTTCAGTATTTAAATATAATTATTATTTTGGTTATTATTTATTTTTATTATTTTTGTATATTAGTGATAGATTAGCTTGTTGATTCTATTCACATTTGACTCATGTCATTAATCACATTGTAGGTCCTTCAAGTACATGCAATTCAACAGCTAGAAGACAATGCACAGAATGATTCAGAAGCAGGTAAACCTAGTTAGCAATTGTATATAGAATAATTAGGATAATAATGTAAACTGATGGACCATGATTCAGATTATTAGGCATCTGTGGTGGACGACGAGAGTTGCTGGTACCGGGTTACCGGGAAGCACAGACATGAAGGGACCCTTAGGGGTGAAGAAAGTCATTGATCGAGTTCATAGTCCACATTTCCAACGCCCTGAGCATCTTACATTAGATAGATTTGTGCGCTATATAAAACTACACTATTATTATCTATACAGTGAATTAAAGCCTTGTCGAGACCATCAAATTTTATTTGACAAAAACCATATATAGGCACATGATGACCATATATAGGCACATCATGACTATATATAGCACATCATGACTATGTATAGCACATCATGACCATATATAGGCACATCATGACTATATATATATAGCATATCATGACCATATATAGGCACATCATGACCATATATAGGCACATCATGACCATATATAAGCACATCGTGACCATATATAGGCACATCATGACTATATATGGGCATACAGCAGTTTTTTGTGAAAGAAAATTTGGTAGTGTGGACACAGCTTAATATTTTGTGCACTTATCGCATAAATTGAGGACACTGACCCCATGTGACAATATTGTTGAATAACTCAAACTCATTTTATTGCGTCCTTTTACGGAAATTCATTGCTCGTACACTGTTAAAAATTTGAAGAAAAAAAAAATCATTTTAAAAGATTTATTAAAATGGTGATTTTCTTTGGTTTAATATTGATTCTCTTTGGTTTCTGCGTCCTACTCAATGGTAAGTATTTGAGATTAAGCAGTATGAAGTTATGGTTGCCGAGACATGGTATCTTTGTGGACGTGTATGCGTTCTTTATATTCGAGTAACAAACGTCCAGTAGGCTTGTATTCCTGGTCGACGTCGCACAGCTGACATATTGGAAGTAATAAACACTACTTATCCTTAACCTACAATAATTAATATTGCCATTTACTATACTCAAGTTGTAAGGAGATTCCACTTCAACTTTATGAATGGTGTCGTAAATTTGTACTGAAGCTTTCTTAGCAGGGTTTCTATGAGGAACATATATCGTGATAACTACGTGTGAGAACTGTCTAGGAATGTAAAATGGCCGTACAATAATCACCATTATTAAACTCTCTGGTATGAATGTAGACGCCTTAATCGTTACGCACAGACCTCATCCTTTTTTTTTACCCGATTCCGATGTTCGATCTCCTCTGATTAATTTAAATCCATCAATATCCATATGCTCATCTCTGTGTTTTTCTTTTCTACCAAGTTTCTGTAAATGACATAAGACTTGCGTTTCTAAATTTGTTCATGTATCGCACGTTTGCTCTTAGTTTGTCAATGTTAAAACAGGCACCAACAACTCTACCAAACTAAATGAGCTCCGTCGCCACATGAGCAGCACCGCACATGTATATTTGTTATTATTATTAATATATAATTAATTGCAGATAATTATGATCTTGAGTCAGCAAGAAGTAGCGCAATAGGTGCAGGTGATAGCGCCAGTCAAAATAGGTCCAGTCCAGTACCCTCCCTGGCACTTACAGACGGAGATTTTGGTGAAGCAAAGGACCTGTCCACTCCTCGCTCAACTTTTCAAAGGTATGTGAATGAGATCTATTGATTTTTAAATTCCATTTGAAGATTGAATACGTCAGATTTATACAAAAATATGTATGTTAGGCCTACATTATTCTATGATCCACAATCTGTTTATATCGTCAATAATCAAATACTGTATAACACTATTGTTTCTTCATTTTTGGGAGGTTATTGATGTTTATTGCTATTATATTCATTGTAAATATTATTAACAAAATCATAAAACTGTTGGTACACCATGTGCAATAATATGGGTTTTGAGGTAAAACCACTTATACTGCTTGGTTGTATCGGTCAGTGAGATTGCTCTGAACGTCATGAGCGTCTTCTGGGGTGGAAACAGGCACTAATAAGATTTCATTGTTTTTATTGGTATGTGAAGGCTGTCCACAAAATTTATTTGAACAAAAAACATGTGGCATGCCATATATAGGCATATCATGAACATTTATGAGAAATTTTTATATGCAAGAATTTTTTGTCCTAGGAAGTTTGATAGTGTGGATTTAGCTTAGACTTAGAACCTCTAAAGTCGATTTGTTTTTTCGCTCAGGAAGTGAACCGACGCTTTGATTTATGCGAAAAAATTCGCCTAGTTGAAAACAAGCTTAAGCACTTCACATTATTACCCTCTGGTAATGGGAGCAAATGCATATATGGAACACATACTCAGTTTCCTGGGGAAAATTCCATAATGTTGCAGCTAGCGTGTTTGAATAAAACAGGTGCCCACTTGTATTCTTGAGTGTAGAGCAACAACCGTAGGTAAAGTGCTTTGCCCAAGGACACAAGCGAAATGCATAGCCAGGGATGATTATTGTTTTAATTAGAGTGGGGTTGAATAGCTTATTGGTTAGGATGCTTGTCTTCTAATCCTGGGTTCAATTCCTGTCATGATGCATGACTTTTTCTATGACCACAAACAACTCCACTCTCTGGACCTCAAAAAGAGACTTGGTTTATAAAGCAACATCCATTCATTTAAATGTTCAAGTGTATTGCTGTTAGAAGTGAAAGAAATTAAAAAAAAAAAATGTTATAATTATTATTTTCTTATATATTGTTTTCAGTGTTGTAAGTGGAATTGGCGAGTTTGATTTGTTATCTGAACCAGGCAACGAGGCAGGTAATGTCGACAAAGAAACAATGATTAAAAAACCTCAAAACTGTCCTTACTTGCTACTAGACTTGCGAGATAAAGATGCATACGACCAGTGTCATATCATAACAGGTGAATATGTTACATTTTACCTTTAGTGATTGTTTATCATTATTGTCTCTTCCAGCTACTGTGAAGAAGCCCTTTATTTGATTTTCTTTTTTTTTTGTTTTTTCTTCTCCTGTTTCCCGATATTTTTGCAGAGCTATTCGGTGCAGCACTTTGGTCACTTTCTATGCTTTGATTTTTTTCAAAATTTGTCCAAGCAAAGTCCATATAGAAACATTTATGTAATTCTACATATTTTTTATACTAATAAACCGTTTGAAGTTAAATATCAGGTTGATCGAATTTAAGGCACAATTGAAAGCATTTCAAACTAGTGAACCTTGGTTTCCATAGAATCACCTCACCCTATTGGTGACAGTTGCCGACAGTTGTTGGAAGGGTTGAACCAGGTTCAACTTGGCTGATTGCGTTGCAGACGAATAAGGGCACATTGCTAGCTACTTCAGCGGAATCGGGAAAGCACCCCTATTCGTCTGCAACGCAGTTAGCAAAGTTGAACCAGGTTGAGCGATTATGGAAACCAAGCGTTACAGTTAGGTGAAACGTACATATGCTACGAAGCATATCAGTGATCTCTGCACTCAAAATTCTTATCAAATTTTAAGAGTTTAACATCCATATATGTTAGCATAGGTTAAACAAGTTTTAGTGATTTATTTTAGTTAATATTAATATTGTTAATATTTTTTTTTTCTATTTATGCTGCTGCATTTATTATTTTATTAGTATTGTTGTAGTATAATAATTTTTGACTTTTATCACTTTTGATTGTGTTTTTAAGAAATGATAATCTTTGGTTAAAATAGTAATACATTGGCCTATTACTTGATGTAACACTCTGTTAGATATTTTGGCATTTAGTGCCTTTTTAATGTTTTGCTAGATATTTTTTTTAATGAGGGAAATGCTGTTGTTTATAATTCTGTGTTCAACTTCAATTTGTTGTTTAATGTATTTTATTATGCAAATTGCCAATAAAATTTATTTGTAATGTATTATGTTAATATTTATTTTCTATTCGTAGCGTTAAACTATCCATCTGCTATGCTGTCAAGGTCGTGCAATTACTTCACTAAAGAAATTCTAGCTTACGTATCCTTTTTGCTTTACTGAAACAAACTCTAGGCTTTAAATAAACTCTTCAAGAAAAAGTTAAGCGAATTGGCACTTTTTATGGAGCTACATGCTATGGAATTAATGACATTTCTCAGAAGAGGAGAATTTTTCTCCAAATAGGAAAAAAATGATTGTGTTAGCCACGCCCGACTGACACAAAATGCTTGAAATTGAGGGTCGGCATTTTAGTTTTTTTTTTTTTTTACACTACAACTTCAACAAGCAATATTTATTTAATGAGCTAAAAAGGCTGGAATAGCCCTACAATATCTTGCCAGTAGGTGATGCCACAGTGTTATGCGATCGTTTAGCACTATAATATAGATTTAATGATGGTCTTTGTAGTATTTTTGTGTATTTTATACTTTTAAGGCATAAACACATTACACAAAAAAAACCAAAAACAACTTTTCCTACCGACCTACACATTTTTTGAATTTCCCAAAATGTGGCCAACACATTTTTTTTTTTGTGGCCTGATTAAGTATTATATTTTCGTGCTGCGGTTTAGGATTTTATGTATTATGTATGTGATTATTTTTTACTTGCATTTAGATTTAAATTCATTTTTATATTTGATATTTAAATAAAGAATAAGAAAGTGATACTATGATGATTTAATTATGTACGCTACTATGGCTAGGTTCTCACACGGCAGCTAACGGTTAGCAGGATCCAGATTAGCAGAATCCAGATCCTGCTAACTGTTAGCTGCCGTGCGTCCATATGAGAAGACCCCAATCCCGATACCAAGAATATGATGATCGAATAACTGGCCAATAAGAAACTAGAAATTGTAAACGAATATGTGTGATTGGTTGATGATAGAAACGCGCTCAATGTGCTAACCGATAGTGCTTGCTAACCGTTAGCAGTATCCAGATACCACTAACGGTTAGCGCTAACCGATCGGGTGTTCTCACACAGGTGCTTACGGTTAGCTAATGGTTATCTCCCGATCCAGATACTAGGGCTCTCGTGAGAACCAGGCTTAATTGTTTAATATTTACATACATTAATTTCATTATTTTTATTTTCTCTGTTGTCATTGTTGTCATTGTTGTTATCATGGCAGCTACAATCGTGGTTGTCTTTTGTGTTTGTATTTATAATTTTAGTACTTAATTATCAAACATTACTAAAATTATTACTATTATTCTTACTTTAACACTGAGATGTAGCGTAATCAGCCAGGGAAGATAATTGTGATGTACGATGAAGATGAAAGAATTGCTACGGGGGCAGCGACCACTTTTGCTGAGAGGGGTTTTGACAATACTTTTGTTCTTTCCGGTGGTAAGTTGTTATCGAATGTTTATAATCAGAGATTCAGATTAATTACAGATTTTAAAATCAGTTTGTTCTTTCATTCTTGCCACTAAGTTAAATAGAGAATTCCAAGGAAACAGCTATTCCTAGTAGTAATATATTCAGATTTTATTTTATGCAAATATTATGGAATTGTTGTACTTGATGTTACATTAATAGGCAAGAATACTTGCTATATCTTGAACTATACTTGTAGTATTACATATTGGACAAATATCACATGCCCATTCTATTTGTTATCTCATACTATCATACTCTATACACACAGTAGTGTCGGGCTAGTACAGGTAGGCATCTGTTTTAGTATTGTTTCCACCAGAAATATCCACTTAAACATACTAATTTAAATGAAGATGAAGATGTGGTTGTAACAATGAGCTTAGTGGTTATCTTAAAATATGTAATCTTTAATTTGAAAAGATCGATAATTTTGTGCTAGTTACATCTTTAGGCAGCTTTTTTACTTTTTATACTATATTTAATAATCATAAAACCAATTAAAACTAAGAGTTTTCTTATTTTTGTTCTTTTTTTCATAACACAATATGTTGCAATTTGCTGATTTGGAATTTGTAATTATTAGCCTTTTGAAAATTCCTTATGAAGATGCATAAAGTAGGAAGCCTGAAAAAGAATAGTGGATGTTGCTGTTACTAAAGTAATAGTTATGGTTGGTACTGTAAGGCTGAGTCCACACTTCATCATTTGCTACTAAATCAAGAACTACCATGTTGCTAGCTGATTTGCCGCTTGAACCATTCTCATATGCGGAGAGAATGCGTTGCCCATTCTTCATGATGCTTGTCAAAATACTATTACTACTGTTAGAATGTTATTGCTAGATGGCCTCTGATACTGATGTAAACTGGAAGACATAGATGCCTGAATGTTGACAGACAAACTTGCCTGTTTTTTTTATTGTAGTGATTCCCAAAGTTGGTAATTATTAATGGGTATTTCATTGGACCAACTGGTGGGCGGCCTGGGTCTGAATTATATCCAACTGAGAATGCAGATTTAGGCTGGCTGATTGTTCACCTTTCTCTCCTCTTTCCCCTTTCTCGCCAATAGCACCTGGTAGACCAATTGGTCCTATTTTACCAGGAAGTCCATCTCTTCCATCTAATCCCTGGTTTCCCATTTCTCCTGTTTCCCCTTTCTCACCAGTAGCACCTGGTAGACCTATTTTACCTTGAAGTTCATCTATTCCTTGGTTTCCTTTGTCTCCTTTCACCCCAACATCTCCTTTCCTGCCTATTGGACCAGGAGCACCAAGTGTACCATGGCTGCCTGGAATTCCAGGAATCCCTGCAGCAGGACTACAACAACCACTACAATCTTGGGTGTCAGTTTGAGTAGCTGATTGCATGATGCAGATAATGCAAATGTTGTTTTTTGTAAGATACATTTCGACCTGAAATGATTAAATTAAAATGTATGTCATTTGTCTTCAAGAAAAGTTCTTGCTGAAGTCCTTTGTCTTGTCTGATGTGCTGAGAGATGTTTTTCTTGTTTGATGTGCTGTTTCTTTAATGTTGTCTTGTGTACTGAATGAACCTTTCGTTGTTCTGATTACCTTTATATACAATCAGATTTCTTTAACTTTTTTCTATTTTTCTTATCTTGTGAATCCAGATGGATTAAATGAAGGTTAAACAACTTTGTTATTGCATTCCACAACCAATATTACTCCACAATATTCCCGTTTTTAAATATCGTTACGGATGTATGTCCAAATGATAACAAACTCTGCGCATTATTTCTTTCTATAAATAGGGTGTGGATCTTTGTTAGCATCCCAATATATCTGACCAAGCATAAAGGTAATCAGAACAAAGGTATCTCTGGATATTTGTCGTTATTAATACAAAGCCCCTCACTTTTCCACCCGGAAATTTGGAGTGGATGTTTATTACCATCCCAATATATCTGACTGAGCTTAAAGGTAATCAGAACAAAAGTGTTTTTTTTTTTTTATATTTGGCCAGATAAATACAAAGCTCCTTGCCTTACTTTCTTACCTGAAATTTGGTGTGCCTTAAGTTAATCAGTGCTCATTAAGTGCTCATTTCATTTAAACCTTTTTTTTTTTTACTTAAATATTTAACCTGATCCATGACCACTCATTATTCAATTTTTTTTAGATATCATGGTTTTGGATGTCATTACGAATGTATGTCCAAATAATAATGAACTCATTAAAGGTAATCAGAACAAAGGTTTTTGATATTATGTTTGAGTGAATACAAATCTCCTTGCCTTATTTCTTACCTGAAATTTGGAGTGGATATTTGTTATCACCATCACCAGAAAGATCAAATAGATTGAAACGTTAAATCTCAAAATCTCTCTGTCTCTTTTCGGAGTCTTTTTGTTTTACCCCAATATATCTGACAGAGCTTAAAGGCAATCAGAACGAGTGCTCATTTAAACCTTTTTTTTAAATTATTCATTTACTGTGATCCATGACCACTCATCATGGTGATAGTGATGGTGGTTGTGGGGATGGTAATGGTGAAGATGAAAATAAAGATACTCGGAATGATAACGATACTTCACGCATTATTCTGGGAAGAGGGTGTGGATCATTGTTATGTATGAAGATAATCAAAACAAACCTTTTGTAGTCTTTACTGAGATCCATGACTAGTCAAGGTAGTGGCAGGTTCATGAAATGTCAGGAACAATGCACTTAGGTGAGAGACAGACACAATATACTCCAGTAAAGTTAATATGCATATAACTAAATAATTAGTCTCTGTGGACAGATAATTGCCAAGATGGTAAATTCATGCTATAAACACCATGTGAACCATACCTGCACACACTGTATGTGAGTAATGACACCTGCACACACCGTGCGAGTAACCATACCTACACCGAACCTGTCAACTCACCCGATCCTGTTGGAACTTACCCGTTCCTATCGGGTGTCACCCGATATTTTAAAAAATCTCCAGTTCTCCCTATTGAATGTAATTTTCACCCGATTTCACTGATTTTACAGGTCCCCGCAAATACTCTGATTTATGCATAAATTTGATTGATTTGATCATTATTAATCAATGTATTCGCCGCTTGCTTGCTTCGCGACAAGCAGCCATTTTTTATTTTAATGTCGCCACCAACGGCCAAAGTGTCCTTTTTAGTATTTTGCATCATCTTTTGGTTAATTCTTGAAACCTCCAGATTTTTTTGTAAGATTTAAAAAAAAACCTAAAAGTTTTCATGACCCAGGGATTGGCAGGTGTGCTGCACCTGCCAGGCGAATCAACCCTACACACACACCATGTGAGTAATCAAACCGGCACACACCATGTGAACCTCAACCGTACATACACATCATGTGAGAAATCATACCTGCACACACCATGTGAGACCAGTAACCATACCTCCATACACCATGTGAGTAAACTATACTGGCACACAGCATACAGGGTAAGAGCAAACATACTGTACATGCTCACACCATGTAAGTGAACCATAACTTAACACACCATGTGAGTCAACCATACCTGCACACACCATGCGAGTTTGCATATTCCATACTTAAAGAACCGAGTACATCTTTAAAGACAAGCAGGGGGATACCCAAGGGTACTGGTCCATTCACCCCCCTATTGTTGACAGACAAGAGTAGACAGGCCCGTAGCCAGGTTCTGGGCATGAGGTCCACAGTCGAAGCCCCGGTGGGGTCGGCGAAACCCCCAAAGCAAGAGGATTTTTGTTCTTTATGGGTCTAAATAATGCTATAAAAGCAGATATGTTTGAAAATGTCTGTCTGGGTGGGTCTGCAGTGCATTAGTAGGGTTGGATGACTTATTTGGGAAATTTAAAGAGGGGTTTTCGCCAGAAAAGAGGGAGGTTTGCTAGAAAAGGGGGTTCTCCCGAACCATAAAAACCCCCCTGGATACGGGCCTGGTATATGAGACTGGTTGACCGGGTAGCTTAGACCCTCAGGGGAGAAGAGTTATTAAAAGAGCCAATTCACACTTCACAATGCAGAGACTGGTATCAAGCGCTATATAAATCCAACTGCGATTCAACCATACACACATACTATGTGAGTAACCAAACATAGTACACACACTAGGTGAGTCAAGTATACCTGCACACACCAATTTTTATGTGAAATCAAGGATATCATGTAATATCCAACTCCATTTTCTTGTTTTGTAGGCCTATTTTTTTTTTTTTTTGAGTACATCATCATCAAAGCACATGAACTTATATGTGTTGATATGTCCACATTTGATAGAATTTTACCCTGCAGAATCTGCTATGATTAGTAACCTATCAAGTGAGAGTTGCTGAATGTAGGTTAGATGATTCTGGGATAATTCACTTTAAAGCATAAACTAAATTGATAAAATTAGTCTGTTTAAAATTTAGGTATGTTTCTTTCATTGACTAATAATTACTGGTGTTTTATTGTGTTTACAATGTCGGCATAAAATTTATGCTTTTTGTGCCTGTTTATCCAGGCCTTAGCAGGGCTGCAACATGTTAATTTCTCAGCCTAGAATAAAACCTGGACTATACCTACAGTATATATTAGTACGGTATAATGTGAATAGACATCATACAACATAATTTTATTAATGGTTGAAACATTAAAATCAACTATATATTGTGAATAAAATATATTTATTAAAACTGGTTCACAAGATAAAAATAACTAAGAATTTTAGGGGTTTGACTAATAGACGGTAATACAAACCCCCAATATTGCAGTTGTGAGATTTGTAGACTTGCTGCACTTTGGTTTTCGCACCACATTTTTTCAAAAATCCTGGTGAGTGAGCTTTGAAGTTGTGACAAATTCAGACAAAAACCAAACAATTTTTAACATGTTTGTTCATTTTTAAAGTTCTTTTATTCATACTACTCAAATGATAGAGAATTCCAAGAAAAACATCAGCTGGTACTAGTCAAATGTTCAGATTGTATATTATTATTAATCAAGTATCATGAACTATGAACAACTGTATAACGTTACATCGTAGGCTAAGAATGCTTGCTGTGCCTTGGACTATACTTGTAGATTCAATAAAAATATGCCTGTATTCACTATTATATATAGATTGTAATATAGATTTTATGGTAGTATGTATAGGAGGCCATATAAGGCCACTAAAAGCATATTTCTTGTATGGCGGATAATAGCTTTTGGAGCAAATAAATATTGAATTGAATTTAAATATTGAAAATATTCTGTTGCAATTTGCTGATCAGAAATTTGTAATTATAAGCTTTTCAAAATTTCCTTATGCAGATGCATAAAGCAGGAAGCCTGAAAAAGAACAGTAGATGATGGAATTACTAAAGTAATTGTTATGGTTGGTACTGAGCGGCTCAGTCCACACTTCATCATTTGCTACTAAATCAAGAACTACCATGTTGCTGGCTGATTTGTAGCCTGAACCACTCTCATGTGCGGAGAGAATGCGTTGCCCATTCTTCATGATGCTTGTCAAAATATTATTACTAACGCCTGTTGAGCCTGATGTAAACTGGAAGACATAGATGCCTGGATGTTGGCAGACAAACTTGCCTGTTTCTTTATTGTAGTGATTCCCAAAGTTGGTAATTATTAATGGGTATTTCATAGGACTAACTGGTGGGCGGCCTGGGTTTACATTATATGCAACTGAGAAGGCAGATTTGGGCTGGCTGATTGTGGTAGCTTGTTCACCTTTTTCTCCTTTTCCTCCTTTCTCACCAGTAGCACCCGGTAAACCGATTGGTCCTATTTTACCAGGAAGTCCATCTCTTCCATCTGATCCCTGATTTCCCATTTCTCCTGTTTCTCCTTTCTCACCAGTAGCACCTGGTAGACCAATTGGTCCTATTTTACCTTGAAGCCCATCTATTCCTTGGTTTCCTTTGTCTCCTTTCACCCCAACATCTCCTTTCATGCCTATTGGACCGGGAGCACCAGGTGTACCATGGCTGCCTGGAATTCCCGGAATCCCTGCGGCAGGACTACAGCAACCACTACAATCTTGGGTGTCGGTTTGAGTAGTTGATTGGATGATACAGACAATGCTGAGTTGTATAGCAATTGCAAGATACATCCTGATTCTGAAATTTAATAAAATTTAATTTATTATCTTGGTATATTTGTTCACTTTCTAATTTAATTACTATATAAAGAGAACTTTTTTCTCCATTTGATATGGTTATAGATTTGTCTGCAAAATTCATAATGGTATAGACCCCCTTCAGTTCTTACTTTGGCCTACCAACAATGCTGGCAGCCTACTCCCATAGTTACCAACTTGAAAGATTTGAAATGCTTGACTACATCAGTTGGTGGGGGAGAAGCGGGGGCTGCCAGGCCTCTCCAGGTTTCAGAGGGGAGCCACGTGGAGTTTAGGGCCCCTGGCGCTCCAACAATATGAGCAATCTAGCTGCTCTAATTCCAGGGAATGTTTGTTGACAATAACGGGTACGGTACATATACAAAAATATTTTTAATAAAGCCACGTATAATTTGAGTTCCAGTGTACATTATGTTTAACTTGAGCCCCAAACTATGTATACAAACATTTTATTACTTCAGAAATGATTTGGCATCTGATCAGCTTTTAGCAAGGAGGTCTGCAATACCTCCTTGCTTTTAGTAATGCGTCAGTGGATTAAGTATTTGGCCAAAAAAAAAATTGTTTGTTTGTGGAAAAAGTAGGGGCGGAAAAACAAAAAAACTTTTAAAAAATTTACAAGTTTTTTTTTAGCATTTTTCTTAACAAATAAAAAAAAATGTGAGTGAATTTATCTTTATTTTTTGCCAGATGCCCTAAAAATTAGTCTAAAGGTGTTGTCGTAAGATATTGCCATTCTAGGTCTGTGTGGGTTATTTTTATTCATCTGATGAGAAAAAAAAAAAAAAAAAATTAATAAAAAAAAAAAAACTTTTCCACCCGCCCCTATTTATCATTTTAAAAAAAAGAAGGGTAAACAAGCAATTTATTTTATTTGGCCTTATATAGGCCTGTCAGGAAAAATTTGGTCCGGGGCAAAATTCGGTCCGGCGGACCGATTTTGGGGCTCATAGTTACTTGCTAAATGTAGTCCACATAAGCCAAAATCAGTCCGCTGAAATTTACATTGCTGCACAGAAGACTTGGAAATATTACGTCCGCAATATGTTTTGGCAGAAAGAACGATTCCTAAGCTTTTACAGACGCGCATATGCTTATCTAGCCAATCACAATGATGTCCCTAGCTGAAGCCTTAATTTGCATACATCACCCTATATAAGAGTTTAAGATTGGCATGTACTTGTGTTGATAGTAGAGCCTTCGTGGTTAGTGAACATTGGAATAACAGTAAGGAAAGACTTAGCAATGTACACGGACATCCATTACCTCACATTGAGAGAAAATTTAATTTCATATTCATAACTCATACCGCCTCCACGCCTCATATATTTGGTAGAAAGAGGGTGGGTGGGTGAACGACGTGAAAGTGTTTTTGAAATTTAACATGTAGATTCCGCTACGCTAGACGCAGCACAGTGGTTTCACGCCACCAATCACAATGTTGTCCATCGCTGAAGCCTGATTTACAGACATCACCCTATAAGAGTTTAAGATCATGATGTACAGTATTTGGCTTTTGTTGATAGCAGAGGCTTCGAGGGTTTTTTTCAGTGACAGGACCAACTACCATACCCCCTTCTAAATCCACTCCTCATATATTTGGTAGAAAGAGAGGGTAGGTGAACGTCGTGAAAGGGTTTTTGAAATTTAACATGTAGATTCCGCTACGCTTCCCACAGCACAGTGATTTCAAACAACCAATCACAATGATGTCCATCGCTGAGGCCTGAATTTGCATACATCACCCTACTGTATATAAGAGTTTAAGATCGGCATTCGGCATGTACAGTACAGCTGTGTATTTGTGTTTAGTTGATAGAGCCTTCGCGGTTAGTGAATATTGGAATTTAACAGTAAGGAAAGACTAAGCTATGTACATGGATATATATTACATGTAGTTGTATTTTCAATAGTGTTACAGGCGCTAGCCACAGCACAGTGGTTTCAAACACATCACAATGATGTCCATCGCTGAAGCCTGAATTTACAGATATAAGAGTTTAAGATCATGATGTACAGTACAGTATTTTATTTGGCTTTTGTTGATAGCAGAGGCTTCGAGGGTTTTTTTCAGTGACAAGACCAACTACCATATCCCTTTCTAAATCCACGCCTCATATATTTGGTAGAAAGAGAGGGTGGGTGAAAGTGTTTTTGAAATTTAACATGTAGATTCCGCTACGCTGATTTCAAACACAATCTGATTTCAATCACTATCGCTGATTTCAAATCACCAATTACAATCACAGTGATGTCCATCGCTGAAGCCTGAATTTGCATACATCACCTTAATAAGAGTTTAAGGTCATGATGTACAGTACAGTATTTGGCTTTTGTTGATAGCAGAGGCTACGAGGGTTTGTGCACGTGGAAGAATAAGGGAAAACCTAGCTATAGGCTCTAGAGTACACAGATACTAGTTGTTAAAGATAGTTTATTGTGTGTGTGTAAAATAAAAATATGTACAAGTCAAAAACGTAACAGTACTTCCCTGCACATTGCTTATGTTATATCAAGTCAATCTTTCCTTTCTCATGCATGCATTTTGGGTGATGACCACACACACGATAGTACATAGCATCATAACACAGTGAGTGGTTAGTAATCGGTCCGCAAAGTTCGAACCACCAATCAAAACTATGCCATGACTGAAGCCTTAATTTGCATACATCACACTATATAAGAGTTTGAGATGGGAATGCATATGGCTTTAGTTGATAGGAGAGCTTTAGTGAACGTGGAGGAATAAGGAAAGACTAAGCTATGTAGGCGCGAAAGTACAGATATATACCAGTTTTTAAAAACATTTTACATTCTCAATATTGCTACAGTACCTCCCTGTATTTTTGTGTGTTCTTATGGATGCATTTTAAATGATGACCACACATACGCATATATATACAGTAAATAGGTTTTGTGGTTGGAGTGAGTAACCAGGGGTGTGTGCTGGCAGAGTAGTGTAGTTAGTATTGAGTTTTACGATTGAGCAGTAGTATTAATAAATAGTGTATTTTATATTGGATTCCATATGATTTGTTGCTTGCTGTTTCATTTTGTAGCTGAAAGAACCTGGGTGAAGATTATTATTATTATTGTATAGAGAACTACATATATATACAGTATGTCCATATATCCAGTTAATGTTTCCCACAGCAGTACTTTCCTGTACTCTCTGGACGACCGAAAATAACCTCTGAGGCGTATTAGGCGACCAATTATTACTTTTTCTCTTATTTTTATTTATTTATTTATTTTTTTTTTATCAGGGACAAGAATAAACCACCATACCCCCTTCTAAACCGTGCCTGTTATATATTTGGTAGAAAGAGGGGGTGGGGTGAATGTGTGTTGAATAATAATATACTGTATACAACGATATTCCCTTCTGTTGGATCATTATTTTTTCCTTATTTTCAGCAGCTTAATTAATGGATATCGACTTACTAAAATGTCAAATAATTATATCTTCCTTGTAAGGTGTACATCACCCTGAAACTAAAAAGAAAGCACAATCTTTCTTTCACTTCTTGTATTGTACTAACCAAACCGAGCCTCTACTATCACAAAAATCAATTTCTAAAAACTGACGATCAGTTATGCAAACATCGAAAATGAAATAACAAAAGAAGAATAGGCCTATCTTTCCTTTTTTGCCTACCAGACTCATTACGTTTTGAGTGAAGTAAAATTATGAATTACCAGATGCTGTGAAAAGTTTTTTTGCTGGTGATTCTTTTCAGTAAATGTTTATTTCAGATTCGGATGTCGTCAGATTCTTCAGTGTAGGTTACAAATACTAGTTTCACTCTTGTTGCTATTTTAATTAAATTTTTAGAGAATGAAATTTAAATGTGTTAGATTTATTTTTATTTATCTCTAAATTAAAACCATTAAAGTTTCTTTATTTGTTTAAATAAATCTGTTTAATTAAAGCTTCATCGGTTATAACACTGAGCTTGTTCCTGTCACGCATTATGAAACTTTGGGCGATCTGGCATCATCCCAATCGAAGCACATGTTTGCATACACCACCGCGCCCCTGAAAAATAATAACCAATTGGCAGGCAGAATTTAGGAGGTGTGGCCTACAGCAAGGGTCATCGTGACGATGAAGAATGTGTGGTGTGTTTAGAAAAAAAATACAGAAAATGGTTAAAACAATATAAAAGCATCAATTTTATTTGTAATTACATTTCCAGTGCTGTAGAGCAAAACAACAGGCAGTTGTATACTGTAAGGTGCAGTACTTGAAATAGCAGTCGCTTGAAATACATCAAAAATTGAGGCACCCTCTTCTCTAGTCTACTCCAACGTTTAATTAATTAATTAGGGCCTAGACGTAGCACTATGGCAGGCCCAGTAGTTTTCAGTCCCGCATATCATTTGTGTTTCCTTTGTTGTTTATTCAATAGAGAGTTTTCGATGCACGACGTTAACCTTAACTTTAACGGATGACATCATAATTTATTCATCTTGCGTTGCGGAGTACGTTAATTTCAGGATTTTACGTGCTCGTTAGTTACGGGTTTGCGCATGCGTATTTCGATTTGTTTACAAAAGAAGCGGAGCTATCCCGCTGCATGTTGGGTACTATAGACGTTAAAGTTAAGATTAACGTCGTGCATCGAAAACTCCCTAACCATTACTACTGTTCTTTCAACCTTTACGACTGGTTACAAATGAATAAGATATAAATAAGCAAGAAATTGATTTACGGAACCGTTTTTGTGAAATTTTATTAGTTTTCAAATTAGGCTAAAGCCTTTTTAATTTGACAAAAAAAATTAAAAACCTTTTGCCATTTTGGCGAAAGAAAATTTGACCCTAGCGTAGATAATAAAGTAATTGAATAATAGCAAAAAAAGCCAATAAATTACATGTCAAAACTTTACCTAAAAATATATATTACAAAAGCTTTTCCTTGACAATAAAATGAGTAGTGTAAAGGAAATAACACAAGAAGTGAAATGTCACAAAATCATTTAGAAAGCCTTTCAGAAGACTTCATATTCTTCTCTATTCTAAGATTTCACATATTTTACCAAAAACATTGATCTACTTGAATGTAGTGATGCTTTTGATCGACTCCATTCAATTTTGAATGAGAATGTTTAGACCCAGACTATACAGATAGTATTCAGTTTTTTTATTTCAGACAATAAATATCCAATAATACAAAAAGAAACAAGACAAAAGGGAACACAGATCAATCTTACTGATTGAACAGAGTGCACAATAATTGTGAAACTCTTTGAAATAATTAAAGGATTAGGTGTATAGCAGATGTGTCCACCAACAATTTAATTTAGAAAATTTGGAAAATTAGTTGAAACATTATTAAAAACCATTTTAACCAATGCAACTTCCTTTGCATCTTATATGCTGTGTAAATATTATTATTAATTATTAAAATTGATGAGCTATACATTTTACCTACCAGATACCAAAAATGTAGATGTATTACTGTAGTCAAAGACATAGATGATAGGATTGCTATTGAATTATATATAAGCCTGAAACCATTCCACTAAACCACATTTTTTTATACTGAATGCAAAGGCTTGTTACAAAGTTCAAGTATTTCTCATTCTACTTACCAAGAAAGTCCTTCGATAATTGTATGATGTGCTTGCTGAAAACTTCCCCAAGTTTTGTGATGTTACTGAGAAACAAAGTTTACAAAGTCCTTTGATTATTTCTTGTGCCGAGAAAACTTCTGTGTTCTTTGATGGTTAATGTGTTACTATGAGAATTTCTGTATGGGGTGTGGTTAACTGGAGCTCTGTCTTGCAAATGAATGAACCTTCCTTTGGTTTAATTACATTTTAAATATACAGTCTTTTTTTAGTTTCCATAAATGTTTATGTATTAACTATCTTATTTTTCAAAGTCACATGCAATAAATGAGGGGGTCAACAACTTTGTTATTGAATTTTCAAACCCATATTACATACAATTAATAACATTACATTGTTTTATGATGGACATAACAGACCTGTCGGGATGACAACAAAGCCAAGCAACATCCGGCCATACCGTGGTAAGATCCGATTGCCTTTCTTAATCATTTTAACTTTCCATTTTGATATTAGGGCATCATCTGAAGTCTTCTTAAATTTCATCCAATAAGAATAGAGTGACGTTGCAGATGTACTGTAGTGCTTAATAGAATACCACCACCAGCGCTGTTAACTCCTCATTCAGACACATGTTTGTCACCGACGAAATATTGAATTTATTTTAACCATGTAATGTGCCATCTGAGTTGTTGTCCCTACCTGACAGATTATTTGTTTCTTTAACTTGATTTTTTCCCATCTCATTGGTATATGTAGGGGTTTGCAAGAGGAGGGGAAGGGAGGGGATCATGCATCCCCTCACAAAAAAGCTTGCATTCCCAATTATTCTCTGCTGTAAACATGCATAGCAAACAAATGACCCTCAAGTAGTTAAAACTCAACTCATATTAAACCTGATTTGGCAAACTATCCTCCTCACTTCTTCATCAAGGCCTCCCCACTTTACCTCTTTCAGCCACACCCCATCTCCCCCCACAATTTCAAGACTCCTAGATGCTCCACTGATCGCACTGTTTTACTACCAAATGGTGAGTTCCTATCCTACCTTTAGTTGTTTTAGCTTTAGATCATCTGGTCAGATGAATATATACTATGAAATAATATTCCTTTAATGATTATGCTATTAGTTGGCATCAGGAAAATGTTGTTCTTACTGTTATATTGTTATTATCCTTGTCATTGTTATTATAAATCACACTGCCTCAGATTCTGATCAATTGTAGGCTGAGTCCACACTTCATCATTGGCTACTAAATCAAGAACTAACATACTGTATTACTGACTGATTTGACGCTGATTCCGGTCTCATGTGCACAGACAATATGTTATCCATTCTTCATGAGGCACATCAGTTGGCCATGATGCTTGGAACATCTTCCATGATGCTTTTATCAGGGAACAGTTAAATTATTTAACTGTTTCCTGCTTTTATATAGTATTAATGTGCAATTTAGGACATTTCAATGCCTCATAATTATTAAAAATATGTTGTCAGTCCCAACTATGGTGGACTTTCAAAGTATCATGATGTTTGTTCATGATGTTAGGGAGAACGCTGCACATTGTAGTGATGCCAGAGAAGCTTGACCCTGATGTAAACTGGAAGACATAGGTACCTGGATGTTAACAGACAAACTTGATTCCATACATTACTATTTATCATGGTATTTCATTGGACTAACTGGGTGACTTTCTGGATTTGTCTCAAATGCATCCGAGAATGCAGATTTTGGCCGGATGTTTGTGGTAGACAGTATTTCAGCAGTACCACTTGGTTCCACCTCTTCCATCTAATCCTTGGCTTCCATTCTCTCTTGTCACTCCAACTTCTTTTTTCAGGCCTACTGGACCAGAGGCATCAGTAATTGTGCCATTTTACCTGGAATCTCATCTCATCTAAACCTTGACTTTCCTTCTCTTTGGTCAGACCTGTATGCCCTGGAGCACTGGGTTACAAAGCTGTGAGGAATTTCTGCAGCAGCAGCTGATTAGATAAGTTGCACGCCTGACTTCACTTCCTTTTTGTGAAATCCAACATATATCACTAATTTGACATTAATTGATTTTTTTTCTAGGCGAGCATACCCTTGTGTATTTATTGTATTAAATCCAAATGTTCCTCCCTAAACAATTAGAAAACATAACATGCATTTCTAGGCAGACATTTATTTTTCTATACTTATATTTGTTGAAACTCACTCAGCTCTGCCTATATATTGTATTGCTAGAATATGCATTGGGAATACAGTGCACCCTCTAGTATTTGTTTTCACTTACTCTCTTTTTGGGGACAATGTAAAATGCATCGTACTCTAAATCAAGCGCTCAGTGAATATGTACAGTGTGTAATAGATTTATTATTACTGTATTTAACTCACATGTTTTGAGAGGCTGAAGTCTTTACTACATTTTTATACCATAGGATTGAAAGTTGCAGTACAGAAGTTTCCAAATGGTTTGATTACTGGAACTTTGCCGGCATCTTGCAGAGTGTCACCTCTGGCAGCCAAATCCAAGAAGAAGGTCACACCACCACCGCCACAAATTATCATGGCAACACAGAGTTACTTTACAGAGAACAATATCCTTTTAAATTGACTCGCGAGGCTGTGAGGTGCTGGGGCGGGTCCAAATATTTACAGGAGGGGAGTGCAGAAAGAAGGGAACTCCTGTATAATAACATAAGTTTTAATGACTTGGGGAACCGTCTTCTGCCTTGAGAGACTTAATAGCCAACAATAGTACAGTATTAGTCTGAAAACTATTCTCATAAATGACACTCCCCCCTCCCCCACACCACCCTTAAAGAAGAAAAAAGCTGCTGACTATTTACCCAACATCTGTACACTTTTTTGCCAACTAAAAAGTATACTAAGGTTTGTAGGATGGGGGGGGGGGGGTTGAGGTGGAGAGGTCCAGAATACTGCCACGCCTTTAACTAATTTTAGAAACACCTTTGTAAATGAAGGTCAAATTACCTTTTAAATAATGAAGAACATGAGTCAATAATAATTTTGTTTATAGTATTGAAGCAGGTAAGTTATAGAATATGGTAAAAATGGATTAAACAATACATTCTAAAATGTTGTGATGGATTTAGACTTCTTTTTAACGTACTGACTTTTTTTAGTGACTAATATGGTCACTTTATAATATATTTTATTCCATTATATTTAGTGAACGTATACGCGTTTCTATCAACTGCACCTACTGAAGTGGTACCTTCCACTTACTGTACCTCTTACATACTTAATACTGCTCTCTTCACTTTACTATAGTAACGTAATTTGAATAATGAATTTTCACTTGTGTTGCTTTTGTAGTGTGTGGTGTCCTCGTCCAATACTTTGTAGACTTGTGTTATTGTAAAATTATTTTTTGATGCTATGTTAATGGACATAAATAAATAGGAACTCAATATAAGCCAAATGTAAGACATTTAAAAGAATGGTGCTAAGATATATTTCTTCCAAAGCTGCGCACGCATCTGAACAGAGTAAATCGGCACTAACATTTTGTTCTTACTCAAATTAGTACTGTATATGATAGTACAGCATTAGTGATTTTATGTATTTTTAAATTCTAAAGACATCTAACACTGAAAGATAATTATTTTCAGGTACTGACACCCTCCCTGTTCCACCACTCCCTGTTCCCCCTGCTACATGTTCCCCCTGCTCCATGAACGTATGAAAATAATTTGATTGCTACAATGTAAAGTTATAAGTTAATCAACAGAACTGTGAATTAATGATATCAATGAAGCTTTTTTTGTTCCATGTAAATAAATTATCACAACCAACATTTATGTTAAAATGTTCAATGTACTGGTATTGTTGTTTCCACTAATGTAGTGTAATAATTCCCCTCCCTTATTTCCATTTTTTTTTTGCCTATACTATACCATTACTAGAGAAATCTTTTATGCAAGCTTCTGATGATAAAACTGATTTGAAGACCTCATTGATTTTTCTAATAAATAATTTATTTAATTTAAACAAAATGCATTCAAGTTTGTGTCCTGGGGTCTGATCACAAAAAGGATTAATGTATTGTAAATATATTATAAAGATTGACAACACTGTCAATAACCATTTTGACAGCTTAAAAAGGGACAATAACTAGATTTACAAGGCAAAATACAAGACTACAGCATTAACACTACAGCTATTTAACTGTTGACACCTTAATTATATGATTCAGATCTTGATAAGTTACAGGTTAATCTGGAAGAGAATTTGGTACCCAACGATACTGGAAGTAAGTCAGGATTTATATCATGGAAATTTCCTTTAAATTAATATTTTTTTCTTTCTATAAGATTTTAGGGCATCTGTTGGTTCCATTTTAATGGTGCAGAAGGTGCACTTTCACATAAATTTTTATCTGGCCAAATGAAAACAATAAATATTTACTCATTCAATTTCAAATAAAAATGTGGAGTAGGGTTTTTAATTGCAGCCAGCTTTTGCAGATTAAGTCATACTTATAACACAAATCTGGTTGACACAGGCCAAACAAAGTACATGAATATGTAAATGTTGGATTTAAATAAAATGGTAAATTACCAGTGTTAGTAATATGCTGTTCCAGTGACTATAATGATTGCAATGCTGAAACCAAAAATGTAAAAATGTGGCTGCAACAGATTGAAACCTGGCGGGAGTGAAGAACTAATTAATTTGTTAGATTTTTTTTTTCTACCAAGGATTATATGTGGGTAGCTGGCAGGTGTGAATACCAGTCAATTATATTAATAGATTTAAGATTATGGTATACTTTCTTGAGGAAGCTAGTACAGTATGTATTTTCAAGTGTGTAGTTCAAGTAATAATGACTTGGCAATAGTGTAAACCATATCCTGTTTTTCCATACAATGATACATTTTTTTTTGGTGTTGTGCTAAAAATATTCCAAGCAAATATCATTTTACACCTCACTGCAGCAACAAAGCTCTTGAATATGTTTTGCATAATGTGATATTAGTTGAATACAAATCATTATATTAATTTATTTGTAATAATTAATTTATTTATAATTAGTGAATTATTTTAATCACTTTTTAATATCTGAGTTGTGCCAAAAATATATTGTAAAATGCAATTATCAATCTCAATGATTTACACCTCACTGAAGTAACCAAGCTCTTGAATATGTTTTTTATAATGTGATAGTTGGGAATAAGAGAAACAAAAGCATAATTTACTAATTTATATGTAATTAGTGAATTATTTAATAATCACTTTTATTGTCTGTTGATAGGTCGTCTTTCTCGTGCAACTACACACGCAAGAAGTCAAGCATCAGTGCGATCTTCAACATCCAAATCCATGAACAGTGTCCAATCCCAGCCCTGGAAATGACACCTCTAAAACTCTATTAGATTCATTAACTGTTTAAATCGTATTTTATCTGTTAGTTGATGCTCTGATGCAGTTGAGCTGGTAACTGAATTATATTGGAAATAAATAAAAGTAGAATAATTTCCATAATTCTTTTTCCATAATTCTTATTTACTATATTTAATTTATAAATAGGCAGTGGACAATTTTCAAGTAGGATTCCTTTACTTACTTGGAATTTTTATGATGATTAGAGGGAGCACTCAAACTCTAACCTTAAAAATATGCAAATATGCAGTTTGTTCTTATTCGTTTTTAAGACTTCGTCAAAAAAGCAAAATCTCACCTGTGCAGTTATTTGTGGGAGTCAACACAGAAGTCATATTTTGGGTTTTATATTTTCCACTGCCTAACTTGTATTTATTACGGTAAAAGTGACAGTATTCCATAAGTAACCCATACTCTCTAATTGTAACCCACCCTAAAAACCAAACAAATGAATACAGCAAGTAGTCTCAATGTTTTTCAATTTTTTTTAAATTCTTTTTTATCTTACAAATAAAATGAGGTTATAACTGCATTAAAACACATTTAAAAATGTATTATAATTATTATGTTGTACATACAAATCTGGAATTTTTCATTTTGTTTGCAAAAGTGAAATGTTTCATGCTTAAAATATTTTAAAAATATGTAATTCATACATAATTACAAAAATAATCTTTAATTATATTATTGTATTTTCTGAAACCAAAGCATTATTATTTCATAGGGTAGATAATTTTGTAAAATCCTGTCTTCAAACTTTGTCATAAATATACGATAGTTTTCTTACTTTTTTTTTGCTTACAATTTTAGTAACAATGATAAATGCTATTACTTTTTTGTATTCGTAAAATATGAAGATTTCTGATTAAAGTCACTGTTCATATTTTATTTGTTTTTCATGATTTTTTGATGAGAAAATTGATGATGGTAAAGATATGATACAAAGATATCCATGATAATGATGATTAGTGATAAGGATATTGATATTCATGATAATGATGATGATGATTGTGATCATGGTGAGATCATCATCATCATCACCCATCAACCGTGGTCAGACAAACCACAGCATTGTATCAGCCATTGCTAGTGCAAGCTCCCCCGGTCTAATACCAGTATCTCTTGTTTTGTGTCAGGATAAGTTAGTAATCTCTTTGAACATGACAATTTCCATAGCAGAACATCAGGAATCATCTGATCCAAGGCCCTGCAGCAATGTATAGCGAAGCAGACGCATCTCTGATTGGTGGGATTCTTCCATAGATGTCTGATTTGGTTGGGTGGATTCTCCATTGTGAGGATATCACTTTGATAATGACAAGGAGATTCATGATGATGATATTATGATGATGTTTTTTTCTGATGAGAATTATGTGACGATGACTTCAATTTTGACGAGGATGGTGATGACATCAATTTTGACGAGAATGATAATACTGTAAAGGTAAAGATAAAGGGGAAGAATAACCAATAACTCGCACCGTTATTGTGCTGAATTGCTTGTGGGCGTGGTCATGATGTCGATATGACATTAATTTTGATGATCTATTTTGTTGATGATGATATTAATATTAAATTTGATGATTTTAATTTTGATGATGTCAAAGTTATTTATTATTTATTTCCTTATTCTTTATGCTGTAGGCACTTTAATACTAATTTACCGATTTTTCAAAGTAGTACAGTGACTAGAAATATATATACAATATGATTTCAATAATAATACAAAAATATAGGGAAGAATCATTGATGTAAAACATTACTTTAAATGATTTTGTAATGAAAATTGGTAATGAATTTTGATGGTGATAACATCAATTTTGATGATGCAGGTAATGTTGATGATGATATTGATAATGCCGATGCTTTTACCATACCAAATGAATAAAAGGTTAAAAAATACAAATATAAAAAAATAAAATTTAAAAAAAAAAAATGTTTGAGAGGAAATCACAAAGGATTTGTACAGGTGAACTTTCTACGTTTATTCTGTCCGGTTTAATGAATATCCAAACTAAATTGTGTCATCTGAATACAAGGATGATGATTACATCAATTTAGATGATCTGTTTTTGTTATTGATAACATCAATTTCAATGATGTGGATTTTGATGATGATGTCAGTTGTGATGATGATATGAAATGAACTTCTGAAACTAAAATGAGTCAATTGAATGGAATTTGAAAAGAAAAAGATAAATTTTGAATCTTCTGGGGAAAAATGTATCATGGTACTAAATCTAAACATTTTCATTAATACCATAAGTAGTCCTGTACTAATTGTTATTGTTATTGTTTTCAGTAAAATTGATTTGTTACAGGATTTAGGTTATGAAGCAGATAAAATGAATTAAACAAAGGCTATTAAAAAATGTTGAAAAACTGCGAAACTGTCCTTACCGGCTACTAGACTTAAGAAATATAGATGCATATGACCAGTGTCATATCACAACAGGTAAATGTACATTATCTTGTGTTGCTTCACTAAACAAATTCTAGCTTATGTATCCTTTTTAATTTGCTGATACAAACTCTAAAACCAGCTCTAGAAAAGATAAAGCTTAAAAAATGAAGTGCATTAGTGCTTAAAATGCCTCATAGTGAGAGAATTTTCTTTTAAGTACTGTTAAGTTATTATGTTGCAGTTCAGAACTGACTTATGTAATTGTATGTACATATCGTTGCATTTTAATTTTTGATATTTAAATAAACCAATAATGTAATACAATAAATTCAATCCAAATTTATGTATTTTATTAATTATAACACAGTTGATGCCCCTCTTCATCTCTTACCACTTCACACTAGAAGGGGCACGTTTGATATGGTCTTCCTTTATAAATGTTTTAACTCGCTTTTTACTTGCCCTCTTTTATCTTTATTTATGTTAAAAATACATAGACCCAATTCACGTAACACTGACTTATTCTCTATGCCCCTTAGCCGGGTCAATGCTACTAAAACGGTTTTATTCACAGACTCTCCTATAACTATAATACCATTACACGTAACGATACCACTATTAACATATTTTTTAACAGTATTCCACGTTTAAATCCAAAGTTGCTAATTTAGTTTAGGCTTTCTTTAGTTTAGCTAGGGACCCGTTTTCTTGTCGATTTTTTTCCCTTGTGTGTTTTTTGTTTGTATTTTACTTTCTTTTATATATTGTATGTTTAAGACATCCTGTAATGGGTAATTCCGCTGTTGGATGTAATTGAAATTTTTAAAAAGATAAATAAAATAATGTAAGTTTATTATTGCAGTTTTTTTTGTTAATATTGTCACTGTTGTTACTTGTTATTATCACTGATTTTGTTGTCATTGTGATTGTCACTTTTAATTTTTCTCAGTTTTCACTCTTGTTGTCATTGCTGTTGTCACTGTTATTGTCGCTGTTGATGTTGTCATGGTTGTTGTTGTCATGACCAGGGCTGGAAAAAGTGTGCGACCAACGGTTAGAGGCATTGACCATTACCCCGAAGACATTTTAGAAAAAAAAATTACATTATTAATTAAATTTATGCTTGCTCCAAACCACTAAATGTACTACTGTTTAGCTGTAATAGTGTGTAGAGATAACATTTTGTGCTGGAAGCATTTGATTAAGTAATATTCATGGTCGGAGGCACAAAAGTATTTTTTCTAGGCCTGATCATGACTTGTCATTGTTATTGTTATCTCTCTTGTTGTCCCCCGAGTCCTATATAATTTTAAAAAGAAAATATTTATTATACTGTAATTGTTAATATTGTTTTTAACAGTGAAGGTTAGAGTAATCAACCAGAGAAGATAATTGTGATGCATGATTAGAGAGGTTTTGGCAGTTCGTTCTGTTCTGATGGTAAGTTCTCATCTATTTTAAAGGTTCCTGTTTAAGGTATGGATCGTCGTCATGGTGGCCGGTCGATCTTGACCACTCATCTTCTTTGACAAACTTTCATATGTATTCAGTGGGAGGGGAACACCCTCTCAAACCCTTCCCCAGCTCGGGCCTACGAGCTTAAATCCCCCTGTCAGACAGCTCAGCACCCCCCCCCCC